CTGCCTGCGTGCTGAGCACGCTGGTTTCTTCCAAACAGGGGTTGGGTCAGGAATCAGCTAATTAACGAAGCAGCTGTGTAAGATTTGTTTACTCTCTCTCAGCGCCATATGGTGGGAGATCAGATGCATAGAGTTAGTCTTAATAGTCTCAGTGGTCTAGTCTAGCTAGTCTCGGTAGTCTCAGTACTTATTTCGCCATGTTGCGGAAGACAGGCCCAGCTCCCCACAGGCCATCCTCCACTGCACTCCCTGGCCACAGCAGAGAGCTGGCCTGGAAGAGGGGCAACCGGGACAGAATCCGGCTCCCCTACTGGGACTAGAACCCAGTGTGCCGGCGCTGCTAGGTGGAGGATTAGCCTATTGAGCTGCGGCGCCGGTCCAAGATTCATTTTCAAATTTCTATTGTTTTTTGAATCAAGGTCATTGCTTCTTTCTTCTGTCCATTTACTATATTATTAAACCCACTGATTAAGTTTTTTTAAGATTTATTTATTTGAAAGGCAGAGTTACAGAGAGAAAGGGACACAAACACACACACACACAGACACTCTTCATCTGGTGGTTTGCTCCTCAAATGGCTGCAATGGCCAGGGCTGGGCCAGGCTGGAGTTAGGAGCCAGGAGCTTCAGCTGGTTCGCCCACGTGGGTGTAGGGGCTCAAGGACTTGGACCATCTTCCACTGCTTCCCCAGGCCGTTAACAAGGAGCTGGGTCAGAAGTGGAGCAGCCTGGCCTCGAAGTGGCACTGATATGGAATGCCAGTGTCATAGGTGGTGCTTAACCCACTGAACCACAGTGCTGGCCCCCAGTAAGTTTTTAAAAAGTTTTGGTTATTTTTATTTATACAATTGCTATGTGATTTTTACATTTTCTGTTTCTTGGCTAAATCTTACTATTTCTTTGCTGAGAATGTTAATTTTTTCATTTGTGTTTGTAATTATCCACTGAAGCATTTATCTGATGGCTTTCCTTTCTGATTTAGCTGGCTTCCACTTATACCACTCTGGCAGGGGCATAAGGGCGTGCCTGATTTTTACCAGGTAGGGTAAAAAGTCCAGGTCACTGATTGGCCTCCTTTGACATCCTCGGGAGGAGAGAAGCACACCTACTCACCAGGCTTCTGCTAATACCACTCTATTAGAGAACAGGGTTCCTTCATTACTGTTCCCCTGAGGCTTCCACTGGCACTGCTGTGACCATAGCCTCGTTTACTGCTGAACAGTGATGACTCAACTAGTTCTCCTCTGACACCACCCCTGAGTGAAGGGAAAGCAGGTGCTTCATCACTACCATGTGCAATTGTTATTTTTTTTAACTTTTATTTAATGAATATAAATTTCCAAAGTACGGCTTATGGATTACAATGGCTTCCCCCTCATAACGTCCCTCCCACCCGCAACCCTCCCCTCTCCCACTCCCTCTCCCCTTCCATTCACATCAAGATTCATTTTCGATTCTCTTTATATACAGAAGATCAGTTTAGCATACATTAAGTAAAGATTTCAGCAGTTTGCTCCCACACTGAAACATAAAGTGAAAAATAATAGATGATTTTTTTTAACTTTTATTTAATGAATATAAATTTCCAAAGTACGGCTTATGGATTACAATGGCTTCCCCCACATACCGTCCCTCCCACCCACAACCCTCCCCTTTCCCACTCCCTCTCCCCTTCCATTCACATCAAGATTCATTTTCGATTATCTTAATATACAGAAGATCAGCTTAGTATACCTTAAGTAAGGATTTCAACAGTTTGCTCTCACACAGAAACATAAAGTGAAAAATAATAGATGATTTTTTTTAAATGATGATGAAATCAGATCAGACCTATTGTCATGTTTAATCCCAGTGAGAGTCAAGTTGGGAGTTGATAATTTCTTTTTTTTTTTTTTTTACAGAGGATCAGTTTAGTATACATTAAGTAAAGATTTCAACAGTTTGCACCCCCATGAAAACACAAAGTGAAATATATTGTTTGAGTACTCGTTATAGCATTAAATCTCAATGCACAGCACATTAAGGACAGAGATCCTACATGAGGAGTAAGTGCACAGTGACTCCTGTTGTTGACTTTACCAATTGACACTCCTGTCTATGGCATCAGTAGTCTCCCTATGCTCCGGTCATGAGTTTCCAAGGCTATGGAAGCCCTCCGAGTTCTCCGATTCTTATCTTGTTTAGACAAGGTCATAGTCAAAGTGGAGGTTCTCTCCTCCCTTCAGAGAAAGGTACCTCCTTCTTTGAAGACCTGTTCTTTCCACTGGGATCTCACTCGCAGAGATCTTTTGCCAGAGTGTCTTGGCTTTCCATGCCTGAAATACTCTCATGGGCTTTTCAGCCAGATCCGAATGCCTTTAGGGCTGATTCTGAGGCCAGAGTGCTATTTAGGACATCTGCCATTCTATGAGTCTGCTGAGTATCTCACTTCCCATGTTGGATCACTCTCCCCTTTATTTATTCCATCGGTTAGTGTTAGCAGGTACTAGACTTGTTTATGTGCTCCCTTTGACTCTTAGTCCTTTCATTATGATCAATTGTGAACTGAAATTGATCACTTGGAATAGTGAGATGGCATTGGTACATGCCACCTTGATGGGATTGAATTGGAATCCCCTGGTATGTTTTTAACTCTACCATTTGGGGCAAGTCAGCTTGAGCATGTCCCAAATTATACATCTCTTCCCTCTCTTATTCCCACTCTTATGTTTAACAGGGATCACATTTCAGTTAATTTTTAACACTTAAGAATAACTGTGTATTAATTACAGAATTAAGCCAGTCATATTAAGTAGAACAGACAAAAAAACTACTAAGAGGGATAATGTATTAAGTTGTTCATTAACAGTCAGGGCTATGCTAATCAGCTAATCAGATTTTTTAAATGATGATGAAATCAGATCAGACCTATTGTCATGTTTAATCCCAGCGAGAGTCAAGTTGGGAATTGCTAATTTCTTCTTCTTTTTTTTTTTTTTAACAGAAGATCAGTTTAGTATACATTAAGTAAAGGTTTCAACAGTTTGCACCCCCATAGAAACACAAAGTGAAATATATTGTTTGAGTACTCGTTATAGCATTAAGCCTCAATGTACAGCACATTAAGGACAGAGATCCTACATGAGGAGTAAGTGCACAGTGACTCCTGTTGTTGACTTTACAAATTGACACTCCTGTTTATGGCATCAGTAATCTCCCTATGCTCCAGTCATGAGTTTCCAAGGCTATGGAAGCCCCTTGAGTTCTCTGACTCTTATCTTGTTTAGACAAGGTCATAGTCAAAGTGCAATTGTTAAGTCCAGGCAGGCTGCTTGTGTGGTCTCTGCTGATGTCACAGATGGAAGGGAATGGATTTGCTACCCCTGGCTGGGGATGACCATCCTCTCTCCCACTTGATCTTCTCTCATCCTACTCTTGCTGGGGTGAGGTGATAGGGCAGGATATTGTAGCTCCCTATTGCAGTCAAAGAAAATGAATGAGGGTGGGGGCTATAGCTGTTCTTCTGTGAGATTTGTCTAGAGTAGAGTAGTTATCGCCTGATGTTTTCTATCTTCTTGACTGACCATTTCCTGGCCATTCAGTTAGATAAATCAAATTTATGGGGGCCTCATTTTTGATATCTGTTGTGGTGTTTCTAGGTTGCCAGTGACTTTCTAGCCCCATGTCTGGGATCTGTGAGTCAAAAAGAAGAACTCACCACTCTGCCATTTATTGAATCCTGCAGCCCCAAATCAACTCCCTTTTCTCTCCACTTCTCAGTGCCTTCTTACTCTTGAATTTTTCAGATAAGTTAGTTATATTTAGGAGCAGAAGTAGAAAACAGTCTATCTACTCAGGCTTACCAGTAGAACACTTTTAGCCTTTGCCCCTCATGATATCATTGGTCTGGTGGTAGGGATGTGATCTGAGAGCAGAGCACTACCCAGGTTCTCTTTTAAGACTCCACTTTTATTTCTTGCCTTTCTTACATCCAGGGTTGACAATGGTTCTGTTTGGCTTCATGTCTGTTTCTTTTATAGCACTCCCCTTTCCTTGAACCAAATCTCTTGGAACTGAGTTAGCATCTAAGCAGTAGGATACTGAAGAAATTTCTCTGAGCTTCAGAGTGAGAATATTTTAAAGCTTGGATTTTCCCATCAAAATAATTCTACATGTGGCTGATGACCAAGCATTTAATATAGTTCCTAGGCATAGTTCATAGTCAAAGCTGTGCTTTTTCATTATTGTGATTATTAAACTTCCTTTCGGATAGTGCCCCTAATGAGTGAGAATTCCTAATGTTTAACCTCCTTATTTTCATTGTTTTTCTTTTCTACTTAAATTCTACATGTCTTATATCTTTATAGAACCATTTGATTTAACATGTATGTAACACACCTGAAAAGCTTACGTAGTGTCTGACTCATAGGAAGAATTCAGTATATGTTCATTACCTTTTCTTATTTTATAATTTTTTAGATATTGGTCCTTGGTTGAACTAAAATCTTAAATAGAGAGGCTGTATCTTCTGATCCTTAAAAACACAGGTTCTTGTGTCTAGAAGCCCTGATATCATTCTCCACTCTGTTACTTTGGTCAAGTTATTTAACTTCATTCTGACTTCATTGTTTCCTATACACAATGTTAGAAATAACAGCAACTACTGAAAATTAAAATGAGATAATTCTTTTAAAGATGTCAGAAGAATACTATTAGATGCAAATGTGCTAAATTAATGTTTGTTTTAATTATTCATTAGCAATGTCTTTAATTAAGAAAGTTCCTTGGAGTTGAGCTAAGTCTTACTTAAGTTTATAGCCTCAGAATCTAGTGTGATGCCTGATACCAAATAGCCAATTAAATGTTTGAACAAATGTGAGAATGAGTAACAATAAATTTGTCTAAATATAAAAAATTAAAGACAGCAAATAACCAGTAGTCTCTTCTGATGAATGCAGTGTCTTAGGTTCATAAGAAATAACTTTAGGAAAGTGACTTATTTGATGTGTTTCTTTAATTTAGCTTCAGCTCTTGCCACCGTTGGGCCGCCTACAGAGTTGATTACTTCTGAAGTGACTGCCAGGAGCTTTATGGTTAACTGGACTCATGCCCCAGGAAAAGTGCAGAAATACAGAGTTGTGTATTATCCTACCAGGGGTGGAAAGCCAGAAGAGGTACTAAGGAACTAAAGTATTTTCAAGCCATTCTTTTCATTCTCTCACATCTTCTACAGTAGGGAGAAAAAGACAGAAATGAATATATAAGGAGATTATTCTGTCACCAATATTTTAAATGATTTGACTGAAATACATTTCCATGTGTCCAAATGGTTCTCTCAGTTCTCTGGGTTATGGTATTTATGTCATCTCTCGTTTCTACATAAAAAAAACCTCTGAACTGGCCAGATATGCATTTATAACACAAATGATTTGCTCAAAATTAATGAGCTCTAAAGCAAAAGGTATCCTTAGTGAATTATCTGGCCAGGACCCCTTTTGCTATATATGCATTCCTTCTACTTGGGAATGTTCTGAGCTTTCTGCCTAAGTGCAGTCTGTGTGTTCCAAATTATGTGATCTCATAAATGTACTATAGTTCTCCAGGGTTTGGAGTTTCCTGGACATTTGGAGAGATTAGTGCAATGGAAAAGCCATAATAAGGCAATGGTGGCCAGCATTTTTCATGGTTTGGCCAACACAGAGGAGAAAACCTGTTGCCAGATGACTGGATCCTTCCCAGTTCCTACCTTTGATACAGCAGTTCACAGAGAAAATACAAAAACACGATGGAATCGTTTTTCCTTTTTTTGTTCTAACCTCTGATTGACCTCAGCATGTTTCACAATTTTCTTCTCTATTATGGCAGGATTTATGGTATTTTTTTATAAAGTGTTAGAGTAGTGGATCACAGAATTTTAAATCATCCTAGACCAAAAAAAAAAAAAAAAAAAAGTGAGAGTGCTTCCAATGCTTCTATCTTTTCGTGACCAACAGTCCTTTTAAATGCTTCTCAAAACTCCATGGAAAAATATTGCTTATATTGTTCTTAATAGGATAATAATTAGCCAGGGACCAACACATTTCCATCAGATATAAATTAGTAAGGGGATTTTGGAAGCATCCTTCAGGATGGGTCACTTCATATTCAATGGGAGTTGACTGCCACAGTGGGAGGGAGAATAGGGCCCTAGAAATAAAAATGTAATGAAATATTCTTCCTGGGACTATTTGCTTTCTAATTTCAATTCTGCACATGAGACATGACATACTCTCATTCTTCAAACTGTTCTTTAAACAGGTGGTGGTGGATGGGAGTGTATCTTCCACGGTGTTGAAAAGCTTGATGTCTCTAACTGAGTATCAGATAGCAGTCTTTGCAATATATGCGCACACTGCTAGCGAAGGCCTCCGGGGAACTGAAACTACACGTATGTATTTCATTCTACCAGATGACCTTCTCTTAAACTGGAATTCTGCTAAGATTCTATCTACTGACATCCTGGATGAACTTCATTGCAAAGCATTGTTATGCTATATTTGTACTTGTCTGTGCTACAGCTGCAGTTTTGCAGGTGCTATGTTTTGGGAATCAGGTCATTACACTCTGATCTATTTAGAAGTGAGCAAATTTAGTGATGGAAGATACAACATATTCATTAATTTATTTATTGTCTGTTATGAACTCAGAACTGAACTTGAATTTTTCAGTAGAACAGGGAAGGAGTTCTATAGCTCTCTTGCTTAGTAAAACACCAAAAAATTATGTTACCTCTATGAGGAATCTTCACTAAATTCATGGAAAGTATATATTAATCTATGAATGGATTTCAAATTTTAAACCAAGTAAACATCTTTGAATTCCATTTTTTTGTTTTTGAAGTAACCTCGTATATTCATGATTAATATAATTTATAACAAGTTTTTGACTACTAATAATTCCTTTCCTGGGCGTGATCATGATGTTACATACACAACTCAGAGAATCACAAGGGGAAATTAATTACCTTTTTAAAACTTTATTTAATTATTTATTTTGAAAAAGTTACATGGAAAGAGGGAGAGACAGGGTGAAATATCTTCCATCTGCTAGTTCACTGCCCAGATGGCCACAGTGGCCACTGCTTGGCCAGACCAAAGCCAGTAGCCAAGAGTTTGATTTGAGTCTCCCACATGGGTGGCAGAGGTGAAAACATCTGGGCCATCTTCTGCTTTTCCCTGGCCATAGGCAGGCAATTGGATTGGAAATGGAGAAGCCAGGGCAGAACCAGCGCCCATAAGAGATGATCTTGAAGAAGAAAAGATCAACCGTTCTTTTAGCCATTCCAAACACTGAGTTCCTATAACATGGTAGGCTCTAGGTAAAGCTGACCTGAAAAATCTGCCTGATACAACAGTGACACAGTAATAGTGTACAAGGCACTATGATAATCCACTCTCTGTGCATGGTAGGATTTATCCCTGGCAACAATCTGTAAGGCAGGTGGTAATGCCCTTATTTTGCAGAAATATGTTGGTAACAATTCCCACTCTCAAGGATGTTTTAGTCTGGTCAGGGGTAGAGGATACAAAGCAAGGGCATGCAAATTAGGGTGGTGAAGTGCTGTGGGGATGCCAATAGAAATGTGTACAAAGAGTTACAACTATAAGCAAAGTCCTGAAATTGACATTGTTTAGGGCAGCAGGCAAAGAGAGCTTGTAGGGCCACATTGTGAAAAGTCTAGCTTTATAATTGAAAACAACAGTGGTTCTTGTTTTTTTTTTTTTTTTTTTTTTTTTTTTTTTTTTTTTACCAGCATTGTTTAAGAAGTAATTTGCAATATATCTTTAATACCTTTCTCCCTATACCTCAAATATGACCAATGTTATATCTTGGCTATTCAATTTTTTTTCTCAAAGACATTTACAAATGTCTGAAAGCTTTTTTTTTTTAAAAAAATCTTCTTTTGCAGTTGCTTTACCCATGGCTTCTGACCTTGAACTGTACGATGTGACTGAGAACAGTATGCGGGTCAAGTGGGATGCAGTGCCTGGAGCCTCAGGATACCTGATCCTTTATGCTCCTCTCACAGAGGGTCTGGCTGGAGATGAAAAGGAGGTAACCATCTGCTGCCTACTTGAGTCCTAGAATCCTTGACTTCTTTAAAATAAATTGCTGGGGTCGGCGCTATGGCGCTTCGGGTTAAAACCCCAGCCTGCAGCACCTGCATCCCATATGGGTGCTGGTTCAAGTCCTAGCTGCTCCACTTCTTGTTTTATTTTATTTATTTATTTATTTTTGACAGGCAGAGTTAGACAGTGAGAGAGAGAGAGAGAGAGAGAGAAAGGTCTTCTTTCCATTGGTTCACCCCCCAAGTGGCTGGTATGGCCGGCACTGCACTGATCTGAAGCCAGGAACCAGATGCTTCTCCTGGTCTCCCATGCGGGTGCAGGGAGCACTTGGGCCATCCTCCACTGCCTTCCTTGGCCACAGTAGAGAGCTGGACTGGAAGAGGAGCAACCAGGACAGAATCTGGTGCCCCAACCGGGATTAGAACACGGGTGCCGGTGCTGCAGGCGGAGGATTAGCCAAGTGAGCCGCAGCGCTGGTGCAGCTGCTCCACTTCTGATCCAGCTCCCTGCTAATGCGCCTGTGAAAGCAGTGGAGGATGGTCCAAGTACTTGGGCTCCTGAGCCCATATGGGAGACGCAGAAGAAAAGCTCCTGGCTCCTGACTTCAGATTGGCTCAGCTCCAGCTGTTGCAGCCATTTGAGGAATGAACCAGTGGATGGAAGATCTCTCTCTCTCTCTACCTCTCTCTATAACTCTTTCAAATAAATAAAATAAATCTAAAAAAATTGCTTTCCTGTACGAATGTAGCATGTGTAATTTAGAAAATTTTGATCATCAAAAAAAAAAAAAAATCACTTATAGCCCCACCATCTAGAGATAACCATTGTTAACATTGAGTTAACAGTCCTTTTCAGTGCATTGTAAGAATGATTTATTTATTTCAAGGCAGGGTGGGTGTGTGTGTGGGAGAGAGAGAGAGAGAGAGATTTGGGTTGAGGGTGCATTAACTAGTATCTTAAGCGCTAGTCTGAACACTTGCCCCTCAATGTATTTTTAAACATAACAAATGGAAATGGTTTTCTGGTTTATTATTGTGAATATCTTTCCAGATCACTAAGAATGTCTTATATAATCATTAGTATTACCATAATATTACAATGTTAGTTTATATAGATCATATTTAATTAATTAATGTTATTGAACATGTGTGTGTAAATAATGATTCTGTGAACATTCCTAACAAATCTGCAAAATTGTCCCATTATTTCCTTAGGACAAATTCATATAAGTGGAGTTTCTTTTTCAAAGGCATGCAGATTATTAGGGCTTATACCAGTTATTATTTAATAGCTCTAGAGAATTCTAAAAAAGTTCATTTATTTGTTTACTTGAAAGGCAGAGCAATAGAGAGAGAGAAAGAGATGAAAGAGAGATCTTCTACCTGCTAAAGTGCCTAAAAGTTCACTCCAAATTCAATCCTCAAGTGCCTGAACAAACCAGGGTTGGGCCAGGCCAAAGCCAGGAGCCAGGCACTCTATCCAAGTCTACCACATGAGAGGCAGGGGTCCAACACTTAAGCCATCAATTGCTGCCTCTGAAGCACATTAGCAGGGAGCGGAATCAGATTCAGAGTGACTGGGATTCCAGTTGGCACACCAGTGTGGGAGTGTGGGCAATCCAAATGTCTCCTTAACCCATTGCGCCACAATGCCTGCCCCCTAGAGAAATTTTAATGTAATTAATTTTGCTATATGCAGTTCTTCAATGCCATTTTCCCCATATACACTGAAAGAAATTTATCTTAGTGATTTCAGTAGCAGACACATCTATCTCATTGATATTAATTTTTGGCATTAATTCCATTTTACTTGATGAATCCTTGACTTTCAAATGATTTATTTTAGTTCCTGTTTTTAATTGATAGGAAATGATTACTCTAATGCAGACATTTAAGAAATAAAAAGGAATGTTTTCACTAGGCAAGTGGGATGCATAGGAGAGGCCATATGGAATTTGGATCTCTAATACCATTTAAAACCTGCTTCCATGACCAAAATCTTAATATCAAAAATAGGGTAACTGTGAGTGCCAACAGCAGAGAGCACAGGTGGCAGTTGTCCCTTTTTTTCCCCAAGTTCTAGACAACCTTTACTAATTTGGATCTGACATTTTATTTTGCAAAGATTTAAAAATGGTGTTGGAAAGAGACTAAGTATTACTAGGAAAGAGAATAATAAAGATAAAGGAATACTAGTTCATAGCCAGGAGATTAGCAAAAAATTTGTGATGTAGATAAGACCACACACTAGTGAGTCTATGGGAGAACCCTCACTGCACACTCCTGATAGGCATGTCAATTGGTACAGATGCTTAGGAGAATATTTTGAAGTATTTAATCATGTTGAAGATGCATACTGGTTTTTTAGATACCAAATATATCACAGGAAAGCATCAATTCATATAGATGGCCACAACAAAATGTTATAAACAACTAATAGGCTAGTATAATGGATGAAAGTGTTATGCTTATACAAAAGAATACCATAGAGGAATTAGTAATATCAAATCTATATGTATCAAGTCATGAAACATAATATTGAAAAAAGAAGAACAAATTGTAAAAAGGAAGTGTTGATATAGTCCCATTTACATATATTAAACATAGGGCCATTTGTTGTTAAGAGAGATATACATTTGAACAACCTTTGTCTCAACTGTTGAAGAATAGTTTTTTTTGAATACCATTTGTTGAACCCTTAACTAAGTATAGAGCTAATCTTATGTGTATAAAGTTAATTGAAGATAGGTCTTAGTAACAAGTAAGAAGGGAATAGGAGAGGGAGGAAGAAGAAGGGTGGCAGTGTGGGTGGGAGGGCAGGTAGGGTGGGAAGAATCACTATGTTCCTAAAGTTGTATTTATGAAATGCATGAAGTTTGTATACCTTAAATAAAAGATTTTTTGCGAAAAAATTCAGCAGCAATCAGATTTAAATCAACAGCAGGGTAGAGGTGGAAAACAGAATGAGAAAGAATTTCTGTTTCATCTAAATATTTTAGTTCTTCTAAAAATGAGATCTGAATTCAATATAACAAAATTTTGATATTATATATTTTTGAATAGTTGACACATCTGGGTGTATTAAATTATTTTCTGTATGTTTATGTTATATGTTAAGATATAAACAAATTAACTATTTTAACTTCTGAATACCACTGGCAGTCATGTGACTGGAGACTGTCCATGGAGGGTTTTTTCTGCCTGTACATAGTTGGCATGTGGGTGCCACACAACTGTGAATATCCCACTATCAAAAGCTGCAGAGTTGAGTGAAAAGGTGGGCATAACTTATAACAGCAGAGGCTTGTCATCCAACTGGACAAGCTCCTTGTTAAATGGGCAGCAGAACTGATCCAGCTCACCCGAGCTTGAAGCAACACATGGGCACCCAGCCAGAGGACTTGTTGGAATTAACCAAATGTGACAGAGGCCCACTTTCCCCTGCCTCCAGCACACTGGCCTGTGTCTCACACACTCTAGAGAGAATTTCTGATTCAGTTCCGCCCACACTCTTCTGGGAACCACACACTAGGTACTGGTAATTTCTGGCTGCTGCTGCCATTTGATCAGATGTTAAGAGTTATCCCAGCGTGGCATGCATGGGTATGCTCAGTAGTATATGATCCACTGTACCTGTTCCTAGTAAGAAGCCACAGGAGACAAAACATCATTCCTGACACCTGTTTGATGAAAGGATTGTAAGGAGTCTTATGCCATGAAGTCTCACCTTCATTCACTTTTACTCCCATGCACGAATAATAGACATTGGCAAGTGAACTAATACTGTGTGTTCTTTTCAGATGAAAATTGGAGAGACCTACACAGATATTGAATTGAGTGGATTGTCACCCAATACGGAGTACACAGTCACGGTGTATGCCATGTTTGGAGAAGAAGCCAGTGATCCTGTGACAGGGCAGGAAACAACATGTGAGCAGAGCGATCATGGCGATGGAATGCTGCAATCAAAGTTCTATGAATATTGAGATTCTGAACTGCAAATGCTGGTTCAGATGAGAACCTTTGAACTCTGAAGTGTTCTTAAGAAATTGTGTAGCATATTTAGAGGAAGGAAATGTCTTTCTACTATCATGTATTATGTTGAATGATATGGATGCTAGAACTACACGTTGGCACCCTCCAGATAATTCCATCAGAGTCTGAATCCAAATGCTAGAGCAGAATGGGCAGGGACAAGTGTAGGATTTGGAACTGTGGTCGCTGAGAATCTTAGCTCAAGCTACATTGAACTATGTGGCAAGGGCGAGGGATGCAACTTTGAGTCAGAAAAAGGAGGAATAGTGATTTTACAGCATGTGGTTGACATAAGAGTAAATATAGCAGTGCATGTGAAAGTACTTAGTACGTATTACTCAGTATCTGTGTCCCATTTGTATCCAAATTAACAACTTTTTCCTAAAATCTTTGCTGTTCTTATCTGAGCTTGTTACCATTATTTTTATTTTGTTATTTTAAAAGATTTACTTTTTTGAAAGGCAGAAGTACAGAGAGGGACGTACACAGACACACACACACACACTCAGAGGAAGAGGGAAAGACAGAGAGAAAGAAAGAAAGAAGGACAGAAAGAAAGATAGAAAGATAGATACATAGATAGATATATCTTCTATCTGCTAGTTCACTCCCTAAATGGCTCCAATGGCCAGGGTTGGGCCATGCTGAAGCCAAGAGCCTGAAACTCCATCTGGGTCTCCCATTTGGTGGCAGAGGCACAAATACTTGGGCCATCATCTGCTGCTTTCCCAAGCAGATTAGCAGGAAGCTAGATTGGAAGTGGAGCTGTTGAGCCAATGGTCTGATATGGGATGCCAGCATTTCAAGCAATGGATTAATTTACTGGGCTACATCAGCCCTGTAATTAGTTTTTTATTTAATTGAGTAAAAATTGTAGAGATAAGGCTAATTTGAGCTACGTGTTAAGAACTCATAATATTTTAAGGAAGTTCATGCCTCTATTTATAAAGAATAAGCTATAGACAAAGTACTACTTTGGCATACTAATGTTTACCACTTCCCATTAAAAATTAGCTCTGGGGCCAATGTTGTGGTGCAGTAGGTTAAGCTGCAGCTTGCAACACTGTCATCTTGTATCAGAGGGCTCATTCAAGTCCTAGCTACTCCACTTCCTACCCAGCTTCCTGTCAAAGTTCCTGGGAAGGCGATGGAAGATTGTCCAAGTACTTGAGGCCTTAACACTCATGTGGCAGACCAGGGTGGAGGTCCTGGCTCCTGCCTTTAGTCTGGGTTGTTGTAGCATTTAGGGAGTGAACCAATGGATGGAAGATTCTGATATTCATTCTCTCTCTCTCCCCTCCCCTCCCCTCCCCTCCTTTTTCTCTGTTGATCTGCCTTTCAAATAAGTAAACAAGTCTTTAAAAAAATTTGGCTCTGTTCATGATCTTTTGAGATATAAGAAAGTACAGGGAGACTTGGGACCTTGTCACCACTCTAGCCTCCAGAAAAGGTGAATAGTGGAATTTTGACAGTGCCTTTCAAGATTCAACTTAGAAAAACAAGTTTAATGACTGGGGAAGAATCCCCTGTATCTATTCTTTTTTATTCAAATACTCAGGTTAAATACTTACCTGCTCTTCTAATCCTATTAACTTTGACCTTGGCCAAGTAATCTAAATTTTGTCATTAATATAAAGGGAATAATTGCAACTTTATACCTACAGTCAAATGCCAGGTTTTAATGAGATAATATGTGTCAGACTCAGGGGATGCACTCAATAAATGATAATTTTAATTATTGGCCGGCACCACGGCTCAATAGGCTAATCCTCCGCCTTGTGTGCCGGCGCCACACCAGGTTCTAGTCCCGGTCGGAGCACTGGATTCTGTCCTGGTTGCTCCTCTTCCAGGCCAGCTCTCTGCTGTGGCCCAGGAGTGTAGTGGAGGATGGCCCAAGTCCCTGGGCCCTGTACCCGCATGGGAGACGAGGAGAAGTGCCTGGATCCTGGCTTCGGATCAGTGTGGTGCACTGGCCGCAGCGTGCCAGCCGCAGCGGCCATTGCGGGGTGAACCAATGGAAAAGGAAGACCTTTCTCTCTGTCTCACTGTCTCGGCCTGTCAAAATGAAAAAAAAAAAATTTAATTATTATAAACAATTATTTTTACTATAAAATCTCTTGAAACTTTGAAAAATCATGGAGACGTTTTAATCTGTTGAATCACAAGGGGGTCCTTGAAGAAGTTAAAAAAATATGGAATTGACAGGGATCTGCAAAAACACCAATACTTCTTTAAGTAGCTTTTTTTTTTTTAAGGTTTAATTGTTTATTTGGAAGTCAGAGTTACACAGAAAGAAAAGGAGAGGCAGAGAGAAAGAGAGAGAGAGATAGGTCTTCCATCCACTGGTTCACTCCCCAGATGGCCACAATGGCCGGAGCTGCGCCTATCCGAAGCCAGGAGCTTGTTCCGGGTCTCCCACTTGGGTACAGGGACCCAAGGATTTGCGCCATCTTCTACTGCTTTCCCAGGCTATAGCAGAGAGCTAGATCGGAAGTGGAGCAGCTGGGACTCAAACTGGAGCCCATATGGGATGCCAGCACTGCAAGTGGCGGCTTTACCCGCTAAGCCACAGTGCCGGACCCTCTAAGTAGTTTTAAAGTAACAGTAAACTGTTTATTTTTGTTTAGTTTCATAGATCCATTGTGGTTTATCCAGGGCAAGTGATTACTCATTAATTCAATAAATATTTATTATTTGCCATGTTAGATGTAAACATGAGAGCATAATTTAACCAAATTTCCTTTGGGGGAGAGAAGCAGTAAACCTAAAGTGTTCAGTGAAAAAGAAAATAAGGCAGGAAAGGAGATAAGGAGTGCTGGGGTAGAAGAGTTATTTACACAGATGATCCTGGAAAACCTCACAAGAAGGTGGCAAATGTCCAGAGACAAGGTAACCAGCTGTGCAGATATCTGGGGGAGAGGCCTGGGGCAAAGGGGACAGCAAGGGCAGTACCCTACACGTGAACTGTTTGCCATATTCCAGCACCAGAAAGAGTGGCTTCTGATGGCTGAAGCCAGTGTGGGAGATGAGGGCAGCAGGATGGCAGAGGGCTGGGTGTGTAGGGTGTGTAGCCATTTTAAGATTCTGTGGATTTACTCAGAGGGATTTGGGAACCTTTGGCAGGTATTTGTGCAGAGAAGTAAAATTATCTGGCTTAGGCTTTCAAAGGAGGACTCTGCTCACATAAGAATGGCTGCAGTAGGGAGACAGACAGAAGCAGGGACATCAGCTAGGAGACAACTATGGACACTGAAGCAAAAATGGGACAGGCGCTTCCTCCAATTTGAACAGTGGGGGAGAAGAGAAGGCTTCAGGTTCTGGGTGTGTCTGGAAGGATGTGGGTGATGATGGATTGGCAGTAAATGGTGAGCAGAATGAAAACCCAGGATGACTCCAAGGTTTTAGGCCCGAATGATGGAAGTATAGAGTTCCAGTTTGCTCAAAGCGAAAGACTGAAGGAGAAGGTTGGGGGAGGAGCTGGTAGTCAGCAGGTACAGTTTTGGACAGGTTAAGTTGGAGATGACAGATGATAGTTCCCATTTTACATGTGGGAAGCCATGGAGCTGAGAAAGAGTGACTTTGCCAAAGTCACATGAAATTTCCATGGAATAGCTAAGATTTGATTTCACATGACCTTGTGTCTCCATCTGTTGGGTTTCATTTTTACATCAGGCTATAATGATAGCAATAACCAGAGACAAAAAGGCACAGAAACTTTACCTAAATCTTACTTATGTCTAAGCATGTGTAATGTATTACTACTATTTATTCTCTACAAGAAAAACATTTTCTTTGTTAGTTTGAGCACAAACTAGTGACAGTTCACTATTCAGGCTATTTCAGAGTTATGCTACTATCTGGGTGAGATTTTTACCTGTAAGAGTTTAGAAATCAAAGATGCTGTTTCTTATCACTTTTCAATGGGTGTTACTTAAGTTTTTAATTCTTTTCTATTCCATTTCTTTCAAAGTGCCCTTAAGTCCACCAAGAAACTTGAGGATCTCCAATGTTGGCTCTAACAGTGCCCGATTAACCTGGGACCCAACTTCAAGAAAGATCAGTGGCTACAGAATCGTATATAACAATGCAGATGGGACTGAAATCAATGAGGCAAGTGGTGGAACATGAATATATTTTTGAGCGATTGTGTATTAGATATATATGACTGTAGAATCAATCATACCCAAACCTAAAGGTTTAAAAATACTACCACTTATTTTCTCTCAAAGTTTCTGTGAGTCCAGAAATGCAGCTTGAATATGCAGTTCTGACTGGATGTCACTCATGTGGTTATAGATAGTGGCTGGAGCTGGTGTCATGTTCAAGGCTTCGTTACTCATGTGTCTGATGCCTGGTCTGGAGAGACTGCAGTGGCTGTGAGCTGGCGCACAGCTCCACTTCTGCAGCCAGACTCTTCACAGGATGCCTCCAGCATGCAGTTTTGGGGGAACTGATCTAGTAGTTCCACCTCTCACATCTACAAAGAGGGAGAGAGAGTTAGATGAAAGCATTAGCTTCTTTAATAACTCAAACTCAGAAGTGTCTTACTGTCATCTCTACCGCACACTGTTATAGGAGATGTCACAGCCCCTGCCCAGATTCAAGGTGGGGAGAAATGCAGATCTTACCTGTAGTGGGAAGCATGTCAGTTCCATGATAAGAGAGTCGTGCAGAATGGGAGATACACACTGTTGTGGTCATCTTTGGAAAATACTTGTGGAAGGGGGTATGATATTATTTATCTTCATAGAAATATCAAATTAGAAATAGTGTAGGTGTTATCCAGGTTATTACTTGTGAGTAAATTGGCATCTAAAAGACCCCAGGTAGATAAGCCTAAGTTTAAAAAAATCAATAGTCCAAGTTTGTATAGGAAAATACTTTCAAATAATAGAGCTTGTTAAAACCCCTGAAGATATAGTATCTTGCATGAAGTGACTAATACCTTCAGAAATTCTTGGAAATATGTTTTAGCAAGATAAAGTTATTTTTATGTTTTCTTATCTTGGTCCAGGAAGCTATGACAAAGAAGGAAATATGTTGGGCCACATCATTTCTTTTTTCTGAAAAAATAATTCAAGTATTTCATATGCAGAGACAAACTTTCCTGCAGTTAAATCCAAGCAATATTTTACAGAATGTACCCTCAAAAGGGATGTTGTATAATGGATATATAATCATGCACATTTGCTAACATTGTTCAACATCTTCCATTAAACCTTCTGAAGTCCTCAGGGAAAACAATCCTAAAGAACTCATTGTTGTTTGTTTTGCTTCTGAAGACAGGAACTTGTAACGATAAAATGAGAGAAATAAAAATGCAAAGTTGAGTTGAGTATGAGATGAGGAAGATAACAGGATGAGGGAAGCATGCCAATCAATGTGTAGGAATAGACTCTTTCTCCTGTTTGTCTTTTCTTGAGATGGCAGGCTAACAGGTATATTTTGTGTTCTCATTTTGGGGACATAGGTGCTAAATTAGTGCATTTTCTGCTATCAGTAACACAATGTAACAGACTGGGTAAGATTAAATAAAAAGAAATTTAATTTGGCTCATGGCTCTGGAGGTACAACATTGAGGGACCACAGCTGGTGTTGGCCTTTTTGCTGGCAGATTCCAGAGATGGTGCTGGGTATCACATGGCAAAAGACAAGTGTGTCTTCTGGTCTCTCTCTCTTCTTAGTGAGCCATCAGAATTCAATGTAGACTCTCTACCCTAATGACTATATCTAATCCTACTCACCTCCCATAGGCCCTACCTCTAAATGCCACAATGTCTGCCTCTGTGTGTGTTTTATTTCCAAGTCCTTGGCCATGAAATTGAGTGTCAAGGTCGCTGGATAAGTGTCATTTAAATGAAGTGTTACTTTGCCTAATTTTGGAACATATGATTTTAAGTGTGGATAGTCCTACCAGATGTTGCCTTAGCTTCTAAGAATTTAATAAGCTTCTATTACAGATAATACAACAGTTTGGTTCTTAGGAAATCCCCCAAAATATCACAGAATGAACTTTTAAATATCTCTACTAAAATATACTTTGTGCATTCATGTAATTAATTATAAAAACTTGCATTACACAAAATTAATAGTTTTCTGTTTCACTTCCTCTTCCTCTCATCTTCCCTACTTCATTCCCTCTTTCTCCCACCTTCTTCCCTTACTTCCTCTTCTCCTCTCTGCATCTTTGCTGTATTAATGCTCTCCTCAACTTTATGAAGACAAAAGAATAAAAATAAAACCAGACACTTACACCACTGGTGATGATGGTGATCATGGTGATGGTAGTGGTTATGATGAAGAAGGCGATGATGACAATGGAAGCTAATGTTTTCTGAGCACTTGCCATGAGCCAGGAACTATTTTGAGTGCTCTTCAGAGAGTGCTTTATGCAATCTTTCAGAACAAAATTCTGGCAAGGCAAGAGTAGTTAAATTAAGTACATAAGCCATCTTGGATAGCGTTTACTTTGAAAGGATTTGGGGTATGTGCAAACATGATAGAGAATTAATGGCTGCCATTTGAGTTTTATAAATGCAAAGGCCACAGTTTTTAGACTCAGAGGCCAGTTCCCAACAGCAGTGACTCAGATGCAGAGCCCAGAGAGAAGTCTAATCCCTCATTCCTCATCAAGGGCTCTCTTTTCATCCTTCCCAAAATTAGGCTGAAGTTAAGCCTTTAGATTGTTTGAAAAAGCATTCTCAAAATTGGTTGCATAACGATGTAATCATAGTCATTTGTTAACATTTACTTAAATTCTCCTACATCTTAAAAGTACTACACCAAAAAAGAAACCCAGTTCCAGAACTAATAGGTTAAAATATGATAATTAATAAAAAGAGAAAATGCCTGAAGGCCTTTATTCAATGAAATAAAATAATCAATGTTGAAATGATATAAAATGCTTAGTGTCAAATAAATACTTTAATAAACTAGATCCTTTTCGACACACACAAATACACACAGAAGCATGCACTCACAATCTGATTTTCCTTGGGCAACTTACTTATCCTCTTTTCTGTCATCTTTAAGTTGGGGGTAATATTTAGTCACCCTACAACAGTGTGCTAAGTATTGAGTCAGTTAATATGTATAAAGCATGCGGACAATATGTAGACTGGAGTAAACAGTAAGTGCTGGGGATGGTGAATAATGTTATCAATTCTTGATTCAAAAGAAAATGGTGTCATTTCAGTTAAACATTGCTGTGTGACTGATGTTCAGCTTAAAATAGCAGCCCATGATTGCGCAACTTGGGCGAGCTTAGCCATGTGGTGTCAGCCAGGGTGAGTCTTGCATTCTTCTTGGAGTTTTGCTGGGCTGGAACTCCCAAGATGACTTCACTTCCATGTCTGGACCTCAGCTGGGGTGAAAAGGCTGTGGTTATCTGGCGCTCTGTGGCAGAGTGGCTCAGGGCACCAATATGGTAAAATGGAAGCTTTTCTTCTCAGAGTTGTATGCTTTTGAAAAAAGATTTATTTATATATTTATATGAAAGGCAGATATATATATATATCCCTCTTTTTCTGTCATATATATATATATATATATATATATATATAAATCTTCCATCCAATGGTTCACTCCCAAATGCCTATAACAACTGAGGCCGGGCCAGGCTAAAACCAGGGGCCTGGAGCTCCATCTAGGTCTCCCAAATGGGAGACAAGGACCCAGATATTTGGGCCATTGCCCAATACCTTCCTGGGTGAATTAGCAGAAAGCTGGTTTGGAAGCAGAGTAGCTAGGACTTGAATTGGCACTGGGATGAAGGCATCCAAGGCAAAATTCCTGCCCCAGGTTGGTGCCTTAGAGATGTATATTATTTATGAACTGGCTCTTAACTTAGAGGAGTGCTTTTTTTATTTTTTAAAGGCTCTTTGACACCTCTATCTTCATTCTCTTTGATTTATTCTATTCACACAAAGCAAAAATACAGTTCAACCTATAACGTGAACTAAAGATTCTTCCCTCAAGCAGTGTACATTCTGTTTAGGACATAGACAATAAGTACATAAATAAATAAAAAAAATTTCAGGTGTGATTGGTGCCAGGAGAGAAAAAACAGTGGTAGAGAACAACCCATCTGAGGAGCTGCTATTTAAGTGCAGTCCAAATACATGAGGAAGGCCTGCTTCTGAAAAGAGCTTGGGAATAGACTCATGAGCAGAATAAATTGCATATTCACTCGCCCCGCTAGAGCGCAGCATTGCTGGAGCTTAGTGGGACACTGGGAATGTGGAAGAAATGAGGGGTAGTGCCTCTGACTATAAGATGTGACGAGGTTATCTCTGGATGCTTGGTTTTGATTTGGAGGGAAACAGGCAGTGCAAGTTAAAGTAGAGGAATGACATTTTATATTTTGGAAAGGATCACTTTGACTGCCATCAGCAAACATATCGAGTGAGTTTGGTCATCTTCCTCTTCACCACCTTCAAGATTTAGCCATTGATAGTATTATAAATAAGAGATCTTATTGATATTGCTCCAAAATGTCTCTTGAACATGTTTTAATTGGGACCTATCTGGGGGGAGCCTGCTCCCAGGTGAGCACAGTTATTTCATTTTTCCTGAGGCTCACCAGAGCCCATGTGTCTTGTGAGAAATTGTGATAAGTTTCTGTGAGGATTAATTAAGAAGATATGTGAAGTACTTAGGTATGGGTGCCCTATGCCTGCTCTTTGTTCTTTACAGCTCCTTAGACCAACACCCCACTTCTCAATGATAAAGATGTGTCTGTCCTTCCTCTCCCCTTGAAGGTGACTTTGATCAGGGCCACCTTCCAGGTTCTGTCTTCATCTCTTCTCAGTGTAGGAATTTCTTTTTCAAAGTCTGCTCTTTGTTGTAGATTTCTCTTTTTTCGCCCTTCCATTTCTTAGACCCTTGATCTCTATCCCTCATGTGCACTAAAGAGATTGGTCCTGACTGTTGATGAGCAGCTTAATATGTTATCCCTCTTAGTATTTTTTTTGTTTGTTCTACTTAATACTTTTGGTTGAATACTGTAATCAATACACAATTCTTCTTAAGTGCTGAAACTTAACTGAAAAGTGATCGCTGTTAAATATAAGAGTGGGAATAAGAGAGGGAAGAGATGTGCAATTCGGGACATGCTCAAGCTGACTTACCTCAAACGGTAGACTTAGAAACATACCAGGGGATTCTAATTCAATCCCATCGAGGTGGCATGTACCAATGCCATCTCACTAGTCCCAGTGATCAATTTCTGTTCACAATTGATCATAATGATAGGACTAGGAACCAAAGGGATCACATAAACAAGAATAGTGTCTGCAAATACTAGCTGATAGAATAAAAAAGGGAGAGAATGATCCAACATGGGAAGTGAGATACACAGCAGACCCATAGAATGGCAAATGTCCTAACAGCACTGTGGCCTCAGAATCAGCCCTTAAGGCATGCGGATCCGGCTGAAATGCCCATGAGAATATTTCAGGCATGGAAAGCCAAGACACTCTGGGGAAAAAAAGAAAAAAAACCTAAATGAAAGATCTCCGTGAGTGAGATCCCAGTGGAAAGAATGGGTCGTCAAAGAAGGAGGTACCTTTCTCTGAAGGGAGGAGAAAACTTCCACGTTGACCATGGCCTTGTCTAAATATGATCACAGTCAGTTAACTCAGGGGGCTTCCACAGCCTTGGCAGCTCATGACAAGAGCCTAGGGTGATTACTGATGCCATAAACAAGAGTGTCAATTTGTTAAGTCAACAACAGGAGTCATTGTGCACTTACTCCTCATGTAGGATCTTTGTCCTTAGTGTGCTGTACATTGAGATTTAATGCTATAACTAGTCCTCAAACAGTATTTTTCACTTTATGTTTCTGTGTGGGAGCAAACTGTTGAAATCTTTACTTAATGTATGCTAAACTGATCTTCTGTATATAAACAGAATCAAAAATGAATCTTGATGTGAATGGAAGGGGAGAGGGAGTGGGAAAGGGGAGGGTTGCGGGTTGGAGGGACGTTATGGGGGGGAAGCCATTGTAATCCATATTCTGTACTTTGGAAATTTATATTCATTAAATAAAAGTTAAAAAAAATTTTGTAAGCTTAAAAAAAAAAAAGAGAGATTGGTCCATGTTGTCCCCAGATACATCTTTCTGTGGAAGATGCAGGCATATTTCAAATGTGTACTATTTTCTTTAGCATTGGTACTCTCTGAATCTTTCTCTGTATGGTTGCTCACCTCTCCAATTCTTACAGGAAGTTATGTGTATTACTTACCTGAAACTAAAAAACTGGCTTCCCATAGCAGATCTGGCTGGAGACGGTCTAGATCTTTGTATCTACCACTAAAATTCCCTATACTTTTCATGAGACAAAGTGATATTGGTTGCAAAGTTGTCCTGAGATTTAATTAGGAGGTAATCTATCTAAGGGTGCAAGATGAGAGATAGGTAGATAGAAGCTGACTGGTTTTATAATTCAATAATTTGTTTGCAGCATGTATAGCTCTGCTGCTAGCCAAGTGAACTGCAGATAATAATAAAACGATGCTGTGGACAAAAGCATCAGATGTAACTGTTTCGTCTCCTCTCTTTTGCAGGTTGAAGTTGATCCTATTACTACCTTCCCTCTGAAAGGCTTGACACCACTCACAGAATATACTGTGGCCATTTTCTCCATGTACGAGGAAGGGCAGTCAGAGCCTCTGACTGGGGTTTTTACCACAGGTAAGCTTCGTGATGGTTTGAGGGCATTTCAAGAGTGACTACATTGAAACCAGAACCTGGAACATCTCCGCTAATTGTGATTTTGAAGGGATCACATTTTATTTTTTATTGATTTTGTTATTAACAAATGAACAATTAGATAGCAAATACATGCACTGAATAATTATTTTATATCAGAGTAAGGAAAGAGACAGACATATCTAAGTTTGAAAGTTCTCAATTTAAAAAATATGCCTCTTGTTCTTTTCCTAATCCAATATCTTTTCTTTCATTTCTTGATGTAATATTATCCCATTTTTTCTATTTATATGAATGTGTATATGAAGTTATTACTGTCCAACAATTTTTGACCTGCAAAAATGACAGTTTCATACTATGTAACCTAATATATCAGTTTTATCCAATAATGCATTTTCATGGAATCTACAATCTTAATAATATAGGACGGGAATACATTATTTTCATTTTCTGTATGTATCCAGTCATCACTCAATAAATATAAAACATTGTTAACTCTGAGGGGGGAAATAACTTTGTTTGCTCTCTGAACTTAACATTGCTTGCACTTGTGTACAAAGTTAATCCTGCACAGAGGAGATGAGAAGGCAGTTTGGAGAAAAACAAGAAAGAAGCTGGATGGGGAAATAATGTTTACAGAAAAAAGTTCAGTAATTTCACAAAATTTCCTGAGGGCGCACTTTACTTGGAATTCTCAGAGTGCCCTAGCAACAAGATCAAACCGTGATCTTGAATAATAAAAGCCAGTGACTTGAACATTTACTTTGGATGTAGCTGGATGTTAAACTTTGTTGTGCATCCTGAAAGTGTGTAAGTTGTAAGATAGTGGGAGGTTTGGTAAATTACATTTCACTTCTGATGGCAACTGTATGAACAAGATAAAAGGAAAAAAACTCTTCTGCAGGAACTAACTTACTGCTAGGGAGTGATTTGTCCCTAAAGGAAAGAAAGCTAAAAGGTAACATTTCTCAAGCTTCTTGGGCACCGTTTGTTAATTTGCTCAAAAATAATATCTTTGTAAAATAATATGGCACTCTTTTTTTATATAGTTAATGAAAAGAGCCAGAGAGAGAATTTAAGAGTTCTGGAAAGTAGGGTGGGCATCTAGCCTAGTGGTTAAATTGCCAGGCAGGATCCTTGTGTGCCACACTGGAGTGCACGAGTTTGATGCCTCCTCTGGCTCCTGACTCCGGCTTCCTGCTGACACAGAGCTGGGAGACAGCAGCAGATGACCCATGTGACTGTACTCCTGATACCTACCTGGGAGACCCATATGGAGTTGCTAGCTCCAGGCTTCAGCCTGGCCTACCTCTTGTTGTTAGGGGCTACTGGGAAGTGAACCAGCACATGGGGGGAGTGTTTCTCTCTCTCTCTCTGCCTTTTTCACCCTCTCACTCTAATAAGTAAATAAGAATTTTTTAAAAAAGAATTCTGGAAGCCCCTGGAGAACTTTGAATTTTGTTATTCCATGGTTTTCTTCATTTTTGTTGCTGGTGCGTGTTGGAAGCAGAGACATAAGTCCATACTGGACTGATCTGTGCTTTCCCTTCACCCATGTGCTTTCCACAAGCAAAAGATTCCTCAAAGAGTCCTCTCTTCCTAAGGCCCCCCGGGAGCCGCTTGTGTTTTGGCTTTCTTACCTTGTCGTTTCCCTAACAAAATCTCCTGCCTTGGCTTACAGAGGAAGTTCCAGCCCAGCAATACTTGGAAATCGATGAGGTGACGACAGACAGTTTCAGAGTGACCTGGCATCCCCTCTCGGCTGATGAAGGGCAGCACAAGTTGATGTGGATTCCAGTCTATGGTGGGAAGACTCAAGAGGTGAGTTGTTCGGAACACACTGAAAATAAATCTTAAGTATGTTGCCTGAAACTGAATGCCTACTGATGCATTGGAATAGCGTTCATTTTAAAACAGATTGGAAATCCCAGAAGTAATTAATATGCTGCAAGACCTGAAGTTTTATAAAGGTCAAATCATATATTTTTCTACGATGAAAATTCAGTATTGCCAGGACTTAGTTATATATTTTGCAGATTTTCAAAGTATTTAGCTTTCAGAAATAAAATTTAATAAAACCTCATAATATCAGTTTTTTTGATACTAACGATTATTTGTTGAAGGAATCAAAAGAAATAAAATGTTTAATGACTTAAAGATTGACATCAACAGCCTTGGATTTCTTTACATTTGGTGACTTCTTATGCTAAGAATTACATTTTTCATTTTTATATTTTTTCACTTTGTTTTTCTTCTTTTTATCCAAGTAAACCTAGTTACTAAGCACCAAACGCTTTTTAGGTTGTCCTAAGGGAAGAGCAAGACTCACATGTTATTGAAGGCTTGGAGCCCGGCACCGAATATGAAGTTTCACTGTTGGCTGTACTTGATGATGGAAGTGAGAGTGAGGTGGTGACTGCTGTTGGGACCACCCGTAAGTCTTAGTCTGGCAAAGATGGGCTTTAGAAGCTTCTACCATGTGTTCTGGCACCTTCTGCACCTCTCTAGCTCTCTTTTAACATTAGCCTTATCCCTGGCTAGGGAAACTTCAATTTCTCTTTGCCCTCCAGAATCCTTGGTATGTCTTCACCTTCACCGAAATATGTGTGTAAAGCATCTTAGCATCTACACTGTTAGCATCATGAGGGAAGGGGCCGTATCTGTCTTGTTAAGCATCATATTCCCCAGCACTTAGCATAGTACTCGGTACATCATTTTATTCTATTTTTTATATTTATTTGAAAGGGGCAGAGAGAGAGAGATCAGATGCCTTCCATTCACTACAACAGCTTGGGCTGGGCCAGAAGCCAGGGACTCCATCCAAGTCTCCCATGTCGGTGGCAGAGCCAGGCACTTGGACTATTCTCCACTGCTTTCTCCGGCACATTAGCAGGGAGCTAGATCAGAAGTGGAGTATCTGGGAATTGAACTGATGCTTCAGTATGGAATGCCAGCATCACAAGCAGTGTCTTAGCCTGCTATGCTATGACACTGGCCCACTTTTGGCAGCTTTTAGCTGCACAATAAATACTCGGAAGCTGGATGGATGGATGGAACAATTTATAAATGTATAAATTTGCAAACAAATAAACATGTCCAAGAGTTTTTGGAATTTTCCAAGTTGATTTTGCTTCCAAAAATCTTGTACAAAATTTACTCACTGATTCATTCATTCCTTCATTTTTTAAATATGAGATATTAACCACATGTTGAATTGCCTTAGAATAGGTTTCCTGGAATCAGATTCTGAGACAGAAAATTGCATCCAGAAGGTTTATTGAAGAGTGCAGTTGGGAGATACTTACGTAATGAACTGAGGACAGCAGGGTAGGGCAGAGGGAGAAGTGGAACCTGAACCTTTAGCAAATCCTATTAGGAGCTCTAGAGCTGAGATGACCCTTCTGAGTTGTCCCAAATTGAGACAATGGGATTGGGCCTTTGTACCTCTGCATCTCCAGTCATTACAGGAGAGCTATGCTCTGGCAGGTGTGATCTCAAGTGAGTCAATTCCCAGAGATGTGAGCCATTGGCAGAGTGTATTGCAGTGGAGCTGAGTACCACATATCCACTCCTAGGGTTCATATAAGAAATAGAAGCAGCACTTCTTGTCCAAGCACATTACCATCCTTAGTAGTCTTGTTTGGCAGCTGTTTCACAACTTGGTCTGTAGCACTGTTTAATTTCCCTTAATTATGGTTATGCCCCTGTTTCAAAGTAGTTGGGAGGTTTCACAGTTTTGTAGGTATAAATGTTTCTGTGGAGTCCAGTATCTATGATGAAGCACTTTTAGGTCGTTGAGTTTCAGTTTCCTTATCTGGGAAACAAATATGTCTGCTATGCTTAGAACACCCTTCTTTTTCAACCACAGTCAAGTTTGTTGTGGAAAGCAAGTGATATAATATGGGAGAAATTTAGTTTCCAAGCTATAAAATATTATATCCATAGTTGTGGTCATTTATATTTTTACAAAATTTAAAAGTAATGAATTTCTTTTTAGTTGACAGTTTTTGGACAGAACCAGTCACAACCATAGCACCTACCAGTTCTGTGACTTCAGGTAAGAACACACATGAGCTTATTTATCTACCAAAACAAGGTTTGATTTAAACAGAAGTTGTGTTATCCCAGCTTCATGTAGTTTATGTTTTTAACTTGAAAGGTGATTCCCTCCCTTCCTTCTCAGGTGAACAGGTTTATATTTAATTCCTTTCAGACCCTCCCAACATCTTTACCATTAAATTCCAGTCTTAGAGCTTGCGAGTCTTGCTGTCACGTCGCTCTACCATTTCCATCCTTGCCTTGGACTCTGATTGACCTTTCAAAGGATGTGAAGTTAGCAAACCTCTTCCCCCGATCTCCACCAGATAGCTTTGCTCTCTGCTTTATCTAGGACTTCTCCTGTTGCTCTCTGTGGATAATTCCTCGTATCACAGTTTCCCTGCCTTTCCAGGGTAACTGAGACTTGGCTGCTCTATTGTGCTCCCTGCACCAGCTATTTCCTCTCTGCTGAAATACACCTCCCAACCAGCTGATGGTAATTTTCCTTATATAAACCATTTTAGAGGCCACTCATTCCTTCATTCATTCTTCATTTAATCTTTATGGAGCCCTGCTTTGTGCCCTCAAGTCCTTTTGTCATAACCTTCAAGATCTTCCCCATTTGATTCTGGCTTCCCTTCCTGGTCTCAACCGTATTTCCTATGCATCCCCCATTCCTTTCTGCTGTCAAGAACTCCTTGCCTTCAATGTGACAAGTCCTCTCCCATGACCACTACCTGGAAGCCTCTCCTGATTTTTCTAGGTAGATTTCAATCTGCTCCTTCCTCTCTGCCACTTTCGCTGTTTTGGCAAAGAGAAAAATCACTGCATATCTCAAAGACCTGATATGGCTTGACATATAGGAAAAGTTCAATGAATGTTTTCTGACTAAATGAATGAAAAAGAAGATTCAGTGGAGGAAGACAGAATGAAAGGAAGTCAGGGAAGATGGGAAAAGAAAAAAATGGGACAAAAGAGGGAGCAGGAATCTTGGGAGATGAGAATGAATGTGCCACAGAACTCAATGAAGAAGTCTAGGCAAACATCGGAGAAAAGTTGATGTCTGTATGAGCCAAATGGATGAAGGCAGCCTGAGTGAGCAATCCGTGCTCAGGCAACAATTGTTTAGATGGAAATGGGGGCCAGGTGGATGGGACACCTGTTGGATACAGGATTGCACAAGCAGGCTGAGCAGATCTGTTCCCTTCAGCAAAGCACTAGTGTGAGGTTCACATGACCATGCTCCCCTTAGTACTTTCTGTGCTGGTTTGCTAGTTCAACTGCCTCTCCCACGTTCTCTTTGCAAGTGTATGAATATGTACAGAGCTGAGAGCTTTGAGGGGTCTCTTATCTTGTAAGCATCTCTTAAATCCGTATTTTCTTGCAACTGGTAGGTATCATGACTCTCACTAACCATTAGAGATGAGCTATTCTTGCTCCATGTGGGACTCCCATTAAATGTTTGAAATATGATGAGCTAAAAGTTCTTTAATCCTTGGTTGTGTTTATTCCAGTTTTCCAGACAGGAATCAGAAACCTGGTTGTAGATGATGAAACCACTTCTAGCCTGCGGGTAAAATGGGACATTTCTGACAGCAATGTGGAGCAGTTTAGGGTGACCTACCTGACCGCTCAAGGGGACCCTGCGGAAGAAGTGGTAGGAACGGTCTGTATGAGTCCAGCTAACTAGAAACTACATGGACTTTCCTAACAGAGCTAACAAGGCTATTGCCAAAGGCTTTTTGCTGCTTGTTTCTTGATGACTCTGCCATGTCCAGACACTAACGCTCTTAGTTAATCCAAATTTCACTACTCGTTCTTGATGATTTTCTAGTTCCCATACAATTTCTTTGAGACTGATAAAACCTCTGAACCTCATTTCCATCATTGCTTCTGTTGTCTTCACCACCTGTTAGAACAGCAAATTTCGGTCATAAAAGGGCCCTTAAACACTTGTATCTGTTTATACATGTATACAACTGTATCAACTGTTTTGTCTGTGGGAACCTTATAAAAAGCTTTTAACCAAAGCACACAGAGAAAAGGTCTTATTTATGTAAAGTTCCTAATAAAATGCCATCCATTAACAAATATGACATACTTCAAAAATTAATGAAAATGCAATTAAAAGATAAATATGTGGAGTGGGCGGCGTTTGGTATGGTGACACCTCTTGGGATGCCCACATTCCATATTAGAGTCCTTGGGTTCAAGTCCCAGCTCAGCTCTCAATTCCAGCTTCCTGCTAGTGTATACTCTGGAAGGCAGCAGATGATGGCTCAAGTAGTTGCATCAGTGCCATCTATATGGGACACCCAGCTGGAGTTCATAGCTCCTGGCTTTGACCTGGCCCAGCCATGGCTATTGCAGGCCTTTGGAGTGTAAGCCAGCAGAGAGGGGGTGCTCTCTCTCTATGTCTCTTAACAAAAAGAGGTAAATTCATTTTAGTGCAGAAGAAAAATTTTAAAACCCATAGATAGTTTTTCTTTAATAGTTTCCCCATGAATTTGAAGATCCCACACATTTATATTTTTCACAGACATCAACTCATTTTCAAAAGATTTATTGTCATTTCTAACTTAATCATGGATGTCTCTCCTCAAACAAAATTTGAAATTTTGTTTAACTTTTATTAATATTTCCTTTCCTGTATGATAAACTGGGTACATTCTTAATTATGTTCTCTAAGTTTATATCATATCATTCCCTTTAGTCATGATTGTTTTTTCCTAGACATGTTTCCAGTCAGACCAGATAAATCCAGTTTTCATCCAAAAGAATTTCTTTTTTCTTTGCATTTGGAATAAGCTTTTCTGAGCCACATTACTTGCATTCCTTGTGCTTTATTACATTATTTGAGGGGGTGGCACTATAAAAGAAGTCTCTAAAATTCATTGTCACTCAAAAACATTATACTTTCTTTCTATTCTTTACCTACAAGGTGTTGGGTGGAAACATTTTCATTTATGTGCTTATGTAAACAATTACCAAACCCAGCATTCTTTCAGGAACATACTTTATTTCTGGCTGAGAGAGGACATAGTGAAGAAGCAATGATAGCCCCAACAAAAGCCACATCCACTGTGGAGAGCATGGAGATCCATGAAATTGCCCTGGAGTACCCGGAGAAGGGTATAGGGCACGTCAGCAACATAGGTGGAATTAGGAATTCACTCTGACCATACATTACAGATGACTCATTATTGGCAAATTCAAAAAAACAATTCAAGCTGTGCTTAGGGATGATAATTAAAGATATAATTTGAAATGTTTTATTTTTCCTGTTTTTGTCCTCATATTATAATTCAGTTCTTAAAAATAAGAAGCATAAAAAATTCCCAGAGTGGGAGTTTATTTTTTTATTGCTTTCAGTTTTTTTTTTTTAACTCAAGAAACACATTAAGCTTCTTGGTGAATTATTCTTGCTGATTTGGAAAGAGCAACAATTTAATCTTACATATGCACTTATGAGCTAAACGGTAAAATAATAATAATATTTTCTTTGGATTGTCTCTAGATAATTTGCCCTTTGCTAATTTCTTTCATTTAACACTGTTTTTGAAACACTTGGACACCTAGATGAAGGGAAAAATAAAGATCAAAAGGTTTAACTGGTCTGCCCCAGTTAAATAAACTTTTAACAAAAATGGAAAAATATTGATAAATTTGGCAGTGATTATTTACTGTACAGAAGTGAGGTTCTCTTTTTTTGATATGCAGAATAAAGTACTGTGTAATGCCTTAAATATCAAGCTCCTTTAGTACATTTTAATTAAGTTGGGTTTGTGCACACTTAGTTTACAGGAACTTTCTCAGGAACTCACCTGGGGAATAAATGACCATTTATATCTGTCTCTGTTTGATGAAGTATCACTGCTGTACAAATGCAGTGTAGATTAGAAGAACCAGAGGTGGTGTGCGTCAAGGTGTGAATTGTGCAGCTCAGGTAGGACAGGCAGATGCACACAGGCCTGTGCTAAAGTTCCAGTGCCCTGAAATCATATGGACCAAATGATGTCTTAAAGTAATGGTGCCATTGTGGTCATCTGGGGAGGGAACGAGCAAATGGAAGACCTCTCTCTCCCTCCCTCCCCCTCTGTCTCTGTCTCTCTGTGACTCTGCTTTTTCACATAAATAAATAAATAAATCTTTTTAAAAAAATAATGATGTCTGCAGGGAAAGGCAACTGGCTAAAACATAAAAGATCTTCAAAAAGCTTGTGGAAAATGTGTAGCATGAAAAACCCCTGTAGGGATCTCAAAAATTTTTGGCACCTAAGTAAACTTATCTGTTAACTCTATTTTCTATGACCCTCTTGAAATCCCCTTATATCACAAAAAGCAAAAGAGGAAATGTTTCCAGATAAGAGCACTGACATACCATTTTTCTAAATTTTCCTTAAACAGAAAAGATGATTATATTTACATGAACTATGATTAATATACAACATTAAAGTTAAAGAATAGGTTATGTATAGGGATCTTCTTTTTTTAAAGATTTTTTTTTACTTGAAAGAGTTACAGAGAGAGTAGGAGAGGGAAAGGGAGAGAGAGAGGTAGGTCTTCCATCTGCTGGTCACTCCCCAATTGGCCCCAGTGGCCAGAGCTGTGCTGATCTGAAGCCAGGAGCTAGGAGCCTCCTCTGGATCTCCCATGTGTTGCAGGGGCCCAAGCACTTGGGCCATCCTCTACTGCTTTTCCAGGCCATAGCAGAGAGCTAGATTGGAAGTGGAGTAGCCAGGACTTGAACTGGTGCTTATAGGGGATGCCCGCACTGCGGGCGGCAACTTTACCCGCTAAGCCACCATGCTGGCCCCAAGGGGTCTTCAAAAAGTTCATTAATGTCTGTTAGTCAAAAACTGCACATGGATTTAAAAACTTTTATCAAAATAAAATTACCTTTAATTCCATTTCCACAAACATTTTGAAGTACTTATATGTTTAAAACTATAAGCCATGGTCAGCTTTAACATATGTAAAGCAACGTGAATTAAAGTTGACCTTTACAATTGGGATATATAAAATATTTATATACTTTCTGGATACAATCATATATAACAAATTTTTCCAAGAAAACACTTTTAAGTGATTTGAAATAGGCTGCCTGTCAAATATTTCTTTTTCTTCTTTTAAAGATTTATTTGAGAGGTAAGAGTTACAGACAGAGAGGGCAAGACAGAAGTTTTCCATCCCCTGGTTCACTCCCCAAATGGCCACAACTGCCCGAGCTGAGCTGATCCTGTGTCTAGGAGCTTCTTCTGAGTCTCTCACATGGGTGCAGGGGCCCAAGCACTTGAGCCATCCTGTGCTGCTTTCCTGGACCATTAGCAGAGAGCTGGATTGGAAGAGGAGCAGCTGGGACATAAACTAAAGCCCACGTGGCCACAGCATCAGCCCCTCAAATGTTTCAAATGGATTAACTTTGAATTCTGCTTTGATATATGGAGTGGCAGTAACATGATCTGAAATTGTGTTGTCAGGGCAAGGAGGTCTCTCACTTATTTGTAAAAGTCTGATCAGGATTCAGACTTTTCTAGAACCTGGGTATCAACATCTTTAAGTTTGACCTGAATTCTGAGTTGCAAGAAGTTTTCCAGAGTAGGGCTCATCGAAGTATGACTCAGTGTCCTGAAAGATAATAAGCTTAAGCTTTCAGAAGTACTGATAGCCACCTCGATGTTGCTACAACAGTCCACAAACGTGTTACTTCTTTTAGCAATTGAGTCTTATTGTAGTTTCTGCAAGTTTTGGTTGGCAGTGGATTGGAGTGAGCATGACAACACCACCACCACAAACACAACAGATAGTTTGAGAATCACTGTCTAGCAACAGAATTTTATGAGATGGGAAAACAATGAGATGTAGGGGATCCTTCCTACTGTAGGAAAGAGATTATTGGATGTGGTCCAGGCTACTCTGAAGAGCTCTGGGTTTTCATAAAGCCAGACATGGAGATGCATTTCTGAAAAAATTGAAAACTCTGGGTATATTTGCTTTCCATTTAGCCAGGAGCATATTTTATAGACTTGTTTTATAAATAAAACCACCATCTGCTATGACCTGCAGCATTTGTTTTTAGTAGAAGCACATTTTCTTTACTCTGTCCAAGCAAGCAGAGACCTAGCAAGAGAAACTTTGCATACCCAAGGGGAAACTAATCTGGGAAATGAGTCTCATTAAGACAAAAATGTTCATACAAGGGTAAGGGTTCCCAGACCAGATTCCTGGAGTTTCAGAATGGCTCCATTACTCAATAACTGTTTTGGGCCTTGGTTTCCCCATCTATAAAATTAGCATAATGATATCTGTTCTCTCAAAACATTGTGGCAAAGCCTAAGTGAATTACTGTATTGGAATAGTTAAGCAGCACCTGGCACATAATAATTGCTAGGTGAGTGAGGGATATTACTATAAACCACAGCAACAACTTCTTGGCAAGCTCAATGATTTCTCTCAACTGATCACAATACTTTTCAAGTAGTTCCCAGCCTGAATCTGACTGGTTCCAAGGCCAAGTGCTTCTCAGTGTGAGAGATGATCTTATTTAAGGAATGTCAACATGGGTGGTTTCTAGACAGCTTGGAAGGCAAACCCAGGCTCTGGGTAGTGATATTCAAGAGAAACACCCCAAGGAAGTACACTGGTGGGGAAACATAAGGCAGGGCAGCCATCATTCTTTCCGGAGTCCTGAATGCCGGAGTTGTTGAACTCATTCTAGGTACAGCAAAACTCCCTTGTGTGTATTTCCTTCCCAGGACTAGCATCCACACATCAATACAGCCTGGTACATTTCAGTGTCAGTTTGCTTTGAGGAGCAAAATCAGATGAATTAAATATAAAGTCATGTAGTTCAGGTCATCTTTTTTACTATTAAAATTCCTTTTTAGGGCTTAGTACTATCTTAGCAACAGCTGCTTCTGGGTTCAACTGGAGGCTTTCTAGGGCTTATTCCATGATTTATATGTTCCTTCCTTCATCCAGAGGTAGACAGCACCACCCTTGGCCTGCTGGCATTTTACCCATCCTTCCACGGTAAGCATCTCCAGCTGTCCTGGTCTTGTGACTGCCTTAAGCCCATTTGGGTCAGTTCTTACATCCTAGCATTTTTTTTTCCAGCCATGATTAAATGGCCTCAAGATGTGCCAGCATCGAACAAGTGTGGTGTCAGCATGGAGAGCATGTGGCTTCTTTGGGGACACGAGTTCGCTCTGCTGTGCCACATGGCGCCTTGCACTCACACGTGTGCAGTGTCGACCCTGCAGCCACATTTCTTTTTTTGGCAGTCTTTTAGTGACACAGGGATGGAGGTGATTCCAGATTGAGGAAGGCATCTCCTTTCAGAAATAAAAGAGCTACAAATTTTTTTTTTTTTTTTAGTGTTGCTGGTAAATATGCTTCGGCTTAGAAAACTTGGCTTGGGTGCATGGTTCTCTTGCTCTTGGCTGGCATCCATTCTTTCTAATTGAAAGAAGAAAATGATGGGGGCGGGTTATCTGAGGAAGGAAAGCCTGCAAGGCTGACTTTGCCTCTGCAAGAGGACATTTAAGTTGAGTCAAACCCGATAAGCAGCAGGCTGGATTATAGAATGAGCAGTTCAAGTCTATAAACACCCACCGAGGAAACAGGCCATTATTCTCTCTTCTGGCTACTTTACAAGTGCCGAGATGTTGAGAGAAGAATATTCCTTAGAGCCGTCAGAGCTTCAAAGTTAACCCCTTTGTATTAGTGATTATGAAGTAGGTTTAGTATGAGGGGAGCTTCGGAGAGAAATGCTTTTGCATGGATGGTCTCTCTTCTCTCATCACTCGCTAAGCACATCTCTTTGCATCTGATTATTTCCAAATGCCTCCAGTTGTGCTCCACCAGTCAATCCCTGGGCACTGGGCACCTTACCAACAGCATATCCTTTACTTTTCTGTTCAGGTCATGGTGCCTGGAAGGCAGAACAGTCTCCTTTTGAAGTCTCTGCTTCCGGATACAGAATACAAAGTCACCGTGACGCCCATCTACTCTGATGGAGAAGGTGTCAGCGTCTCTGCCCCTGGGAAAACCTGTAAGTGAAACTTCCTCCCTCTGCATACTGGCTGATCCTGACTTGGAAACGCTTGTCCTCTGCAATACACACCGAAAGGTGTAGTAGAGTCTAGTGAAAAGAACAAAGGAGATTTGGAAGCAGAAAATCTGTTTGAATACTGTGTGACTTTAGGCAAGTTGCTTAACTTCTCTGGGCTTCAGGCTTTTGTTGGTGTAAAAGCAGACTTGAAAAACAACTCCATCTTTCTCCAGTATCTAATTCATCATAAATCCTGTTGGTTCACCAAAATTCTGCGTACCTGTCCCCCTTTCTGCACCTGGTGTTCCCTCCTCCCCAATCCAAGCCACATCCTCTTACCCAAATGGGCACCTCACCCTCCTGTCAGATCTTCCTGCTTCCATTCTTGCCTTCCTTTTCCATCCCAAAGACATTTTCAAATTATCAAAGATATCCTATCACCCCTTCTGTCTCAAGTTTCCTAATAGCTTCCTGCATACTGAAATAATATGACCTCCTTCCCAAGACCCTACTAACTCTATGTGACCTGGATTCTGATCTCAGCTTCTAACAAACCCTCCAGCCACACCTGACTTCCTACTTTCCACTGGGCTCTCTAAAATGTCCCTGACCAAGGGCCTGTTCACTCACTATTCCTTCCATTTAGAATATCCTGTCCCAGATGTCTGCATATGTGGCCTTTGTGGTCATACCCATCTCAATGTCACCTCCTCAGCATTTTCTGACCACCCCATGCAAAGTAGCTGTTACTCTTTATGACATTGTCTAGTTTTGGTTGGTTGGTTAGCTCTGATCATATCATAGCACTATTTACTGTCTGAGACTGCTTGTTTACTTATGTATTTGCTCTTTTTTTTTTTTCAAAAAAAGATTTACTTATTTATTTATTTGAAAGTCAGAGTTACAGAAAGAGAGCGGAGAGAGAGAGAGAGATTTTCCACCTGCTGCTTCACTCCCCATATTGCTGCAACAACTGGGTCTGGGCCAGACTGAAGCCAGTAGCTAGGAACTTCCCCCAGGTCTCCCACGTGGGTACAAGGGCCCAAGGATCTGGGCCATCCTCTGCTGCTCTCCCAGACGCATTAGAAGGGAGCTGGATTGGAAGCAGCAGGGACTCTAACCATCACCCACATGTGATGACAGTGCTGCACACACAGCATTGGCCCCACGTATTAGCTCTTTATCTGTTTCCCATTCCTGGAAGACAAACATCAAGGGAGCATGGGGGTCTTAATTACGTTGTTCACCTCTATGTGCCAAGCTTCTGCATCAATGAATGGCACCGATGAGGCATCATAAAAAGCTTCTTTAAGATGAATTGGCCATGACCATCAGATGAGGAATATACATGAAAACCCATTGTTAAAGCACTGTAAGGTCTTAGTTGTCTTTGTTACCATAATGTTTGCCTATCCTTGCATAAAAACCGTGCAACAAATTAATGACTTAAAGTAGTTTGACCATTTTGTTATAGTTCACAATTATATGATGCAGAAATTTAGGCTGGGCTTGCTGGGAGACTCTTCCTGTCGGTATGCTGCACATTAGCACAACCTGGATGTACTCATCTAGATCCTGCATTGGTCTAGCAGGTCCAGGGCAGCCTACTCGTGGCCTGACATGTTGGAGGGATGGTAGGAAGCCTGACTCAGTGGACTCTGTCTCCATTAGCCTGAAAACATGTCTGCATTTTCTTTCCAGCAGTTAGTCATGTTTCCTACTGGAAACTCAAGGCTGTAAGAGCAAGAGTTCTTACTTTCAAGAAGTTGAAAATGGAGACTATCGGAGTTCAGGGGTCTGTCAGAAATGAAGAGTGTTACTTTTGCTGTAGTCTGTTGGTCAAGGCAGTCGTAGATTTAAAGATTCCTAACCTCCACCTCTCCATGGAAGGCAGGTCAAAAAAAAAAAATCCATGACATATTTAATCCACCATAATTATCAAAGGTTTACATGAGACTAAGTGCAGAATGGTGTCGAAGCCTGAATTATATAACTGGACACCTGAGCGTGAGGTTTTCAACTAAGTCTGTGTAAGTCATTAAAATTCTGCTCAGCTGAGCCCAGAAGTATCGCCTCCTCATTTAACAGTGCTGGCATCTCCTCCTCTTCCTACTTGTGCTCTGTGTGCCTCTACCCAGGCTCCCACCAAACCACATTTTGCTAAAGCTCACTGAGAGTATTGTGAGCTCTCAGAGTTGCCATAATTATTTCCTGAAGGGTCATGTGGAAAGAGAGAAGAAAAGGGGAGAGCAGAGTTATAGAAGAGTTTCCATTTTTTTCATTCTATTTTTACTAGCACACGTCACCTGGAATCAGTCTCTACATTGGATTCTCATATACGTTGCATACATTGTGTATGTCAAGGTGGCAGTGCCTCCGCATCTTGAGTTGATCTATGCATTAGAATGTGTTGCAGTCGGCGCTGCGGCTCACTAGGCTAATCCTCCGCCTTATGGCGCCAGCACACCGGGTTCTAGTCCCGGTCGGGGTGCTGGATTCTGTCCCGGTTGCCCCTCTTCCAGGCCAGCTCTCTGCTGTGGCCAGGGAGTGCAGTGGAGGATGGCCCAAGTGCTTGGGCCCTGCACCCCATGGGAGACCAGGATAAGTACCTGGCTCCTGCCACCGGATCAGCATGGTGCGCTGGCCGCAGTTTGCGGCCGCAGTGGCCATTGGAGGGTGAACCAATGGCAAAGGAAGACCTTTCTCTCTGTCTCTCTCTCTCACTGTCCGCTCTGCCTGTCAAAAAAAAAAAAAAAAAAAAGAATGTGTTGCATATTTTGGTATTTTGCTGCTAAATGAATGTTTGGAAACCACAGATGTAAGCAATGATTAAAGAAGAAAACAGCAATATTTACCTAATTATAAATAAAGCATATTACTACAGAAAAATGACTTAAATTTCAATACAGATATCAAAATGTTATTGGTCTACTTTTTATTTTTTACAGAAATGTATTTGCTTGAAAAGCAGGGGTTGGGGAGGAAAAGAGCGGGAGGGAGGAGGGACGGAAGGAGGGAGAGAGGGAGAGAGAGAGAGAAAGAGAGAGAGAAGGGGAGAGGAGGGGAGGGGAGAAGAGAAGAGGATATCTCCTCTACCTGCTTTTCATTTCCCAAGTGTCCAAAATAGTTGCAGCTGCACCAGACAGAAGCTGGGAATCAGGAACTCAATCCAGGTCTCCCATGAGGGTGACATGAACCCAGTCCTTTCAGCTACTGCTTGCTGCCTTCCAGAGTGTGTATTCGCAGAACACCAGAATCAGGAGCAGAGCTAGACACCGAATTTAGGCACTTCAGTGTGGGATGTGGCAACCTGACATGCTCTACTTCTTTAAGCAATGGTCAACACAAGTAAATTCTTTTTTTTTCTAAATAGTTATTTATTTGAAGGGCAGAGTTACAGAAGCAGAGAGAGAGAAAGAGAGGGAGAGACAGGTCGGTCTTCGATCCTCTGGTTCACTCCTCAATTGGCTGCAATAGCTGGAGCAGGGCCCATCCAGAGCCAGGAGTCTGGAGCTTCTTCCAGGTCTCCCACATGGGTGCAGGAGCCCAAGGACTTGGGCCAATTCTGCTTTCCCAGGCCATAGCAGAGAGCTGGATCAGAAGTGGAGCAGCCGGGACTAGACCTGGTGCCCATATGGGTTACCAGCACTTTAGGCAGTGGCTTCACTTGCTACGCCACAGCACTGGCCCAAGCGCCAGTATATTCTATCAACAACAAAATGGTATCTGTCAAGATCTGGAATCATTCATAAAAGGCTTTTGCATAAATTAATGTTTTGATAAAAATTAACAAATGATACTATTAATTTTGGATAGTACAGGCAATATGAAAATGAAAATAAAATAAATCAGAATCCTATCTGTAAGAATATCATCATTAACATTGGGTGAGCATTGCGTATCACCTCCAATACTGCTGTACAAATAACTTTGATAGTGGAACAGAATAATGTATAAACAGAAATTTTTAATAAACACTATTTAGTTTGATTTTACTTAAAATTAAGATTAGGAAGCTAAATGACATTGAATCAGCTTCTGGATTTCAGATAGAAGTGTTTCATCATGAGTGATTATTTTCCATGTATTTAATATTTTAAAAACCACAAGTTCTCTGGGACTTCTCACTGTGTGTTTTAGTGAACTTTGATTTTACCCTTGAGAAAATATGCATTTATTTTGTTGAAAACAGTGTAGGCTCTGAAGGAGGAAACTACGCTGAATGCCATTTTTCCTTTTCTTTCCTGCTCAGTGCCATCCTCTGGTCCTCAAAACTTAAGGGTCTCTGAGGAATGGTATAACCGCCTGCGCATTACATGGGACCCTCCACCTTCCCCTGTAAAGGGCTATCGGATTGTCTATAAACCAGTCAGTGGTAAGTGATGCTTTTTATGAAAGATTGGTAACATGGGTAAAGATCTAAAATGTCATTTAAAATGAATTGTTTTATTCTAATTTTCTCTTAATGCATAGTTTTATCCTTTAAAGAAGTAAGAAGAGCTTTTAATTTATTCTGGAAAAAAGAAACTTTCTAGTAGAGTCAGTGTCAGGGATTATCAGAATGATGAAATTATGACCTCACTTAGGAAACCACTGTGCAGAATGTACTGTATATTTGGTATGCATGTGATCTTATCACATCCTTGACAAGGCACTAGTATAAAGAGACCTACCCTCTATAGAAATGGGAAACTTTATGACTTAATGGATATGCAATCTCTAAATAATTTGTAATTTGTAATTTTGAATTTCTCTTCTCTCTCTTACTTATATTGATTGGAAAAATTCCATTGACAAACTTCTCAGACTTCTCATTTTGGAAGTTATGTGGGGAAATAAACCATGTTAAAGAAGTACTGGTTTTTTTCCAGAAGCCTTTTAATCCACTTGATGATGAGACTTGATTAGTCGACAGCACCGGCCCCTGCTTTTTTTTTTTTATTAGGAAAATTTTGAAAACATTCTTTTGGTCATTGAAAGCTTCTCTCTGCTGTCCATGTCTCCATTAGTCCCAATCTACCAAGATAAGGCAAGTGACATTGCTCTTGCCTTATCAATTTTCAGCGTTTTCCATTATGTTCCATTATTGTCTCCAGGCCAGCAGAATTAAACTACCCTACGTACAAATTCCTCAGTCATCTTTATGAATCAAGACAGTGAAATAGTAACAATTGACCATGGATGCACTAGCCTGCTTCAGGTTGATTTCTTAGGATCCAGCATTAATATTTTTGACTCTGCTTTAAATTTGAAGCATGTGTTAATTTGCAAGACAGACTTATCAAATTTGCTTCTTAGGCTGTTTTGCAAATATTTTTCATGTTTTCTGACTACAAATAACTTTGTTATAGGCCTCTGGTTGCAGTGTAATTTGCTCCCTAGTGGAGCTATTTTTGATTATCACAACTGGAGCAAGGGAGCAGGGCGTTGCTCCTGTTATCTAGTGGGTATTGGTAAACATCCTACAATTTTAATGTATAGTACTCTCCCACTCAAGATTAAAGAATTATCCAGTCCACAATATCAGCAGTGCTGAGGTTGGGAAATCCTGTTTGAGGCTGAGCAGGAAAAGCATTCATGGTCATTTGCACCAGATGTTTGGGGAATGGGAAGATCACCACAGAGATAATGGAAATGTACAGAAATAGATTGTGGGAAGGGCTTCTGCAGGAAAGTGATGAGGATTTTAGGAACTTTCCATTAAGTCAATGGTCTTAAAGAATGAGCATATATGAGAACAGTCAGGAGGTAAATAAATTTGTATAGAACTTAGCAAGGAATGTTTTTACTCTTTAATCAAAGACCCAACCAGGTCAAAACAATGGGGAAGATGTAAAGGCCTATTAAAGAGAGTTAATTAAGGGTCTTAAAATACTAATCTCAGCTGCTTGTATGGAAAATCCTAAAAGTAGTAATTAAAATTATAGTGGTAATTCAACTTGGTTCCCTGTGTGGCCTCTGGTGTCCATGATAAAATTTGCTGATACTGCCTCTTGCATGCCTGTAGAGGACACAGTTGGGAGTATGAAAAGGAGTAATTGAAAATTATTTCCTCCAATGGGCAAATACTCTATTGCATTATAACAGGGTAGTTCATAATATGGTAGATGTTGTGTTGCAAGGTGGGCTAACTTCTTTGTATAAACACAAGTGGGAAAACTAAATCTGGGGGAAAGAGTAGGTTCCCAAAGAGAGGATGTAGCCTGGATCAGGTATGTAGCCATTAGAGCTTTAGATAAATTAGATTCCAACCTCAGTCCTGATGTTGACTTGTTATACAAACCTGGGCAATAACAAAGGAGTTGAGTGAATACAGTTTGCTCCAGGAGTGCCCCCCCAACCAATTCTGTTGTACGTGAAATATGTGCTCTTTCTCTTGTAGTTACTGGTCCAACATTGGAAACATTTGTGGGAGCGGACATCAACACCATTCTTATCACCAACCTCCTTAGTGGAATGGACTACAATGTGAAAATATTTGCCTCTCAGGCTTCTGGCTTCAGTGATGCTTTGACAGGCATGGTGAAAACATGTAAGACGCTGCCCACCCATCTCAGTCCCACGTGTGGCTTTGCTGCTTCATTTTCACTACAATTTGTAATTTGGCCCCTCCTTCAACTTGGCCATTGGTTTTTCTTTTCCTCAGAATTGTCTGTTATGGATGCTGTTGTATGGAAAGAAAAATGTGCTTTTTACTCAGGGCAGTTCAGAGTCTTGACTGGCAGGTGGAATTCAGCACCTGGCTTACAGATAGAGTGATTGCAGAATAGGATTTCCTTCTGGAAAATATTCGCTGGCATTTTCAAATTAGGTGACATTTTCCAAGTAACTTGTAGTCTGACTTGGCCAGTGCCATCCAACGTTGGGCTAGGGGGAAGTTGCATTATCTCAAAGTCATTACCCAACCCTATGTACACACACACATCATCAGAAATATATGGCACGCCACTCAAAAGGCTTTTTTCTCCTTTAAGGGCTTCCATGCTGTCTGCACACCATCTGGGGTTCTTGCTAATGTATACCACTGCCAGATACCCACTGAGTAATGCAATATTTCCAAAGTCCAGAAATGTACATTCCATATTCCTGAAATTTATGATATTGCTATACCATCTGTTTAATAGTTTGCTTCAAACCAACTTACAGTTTTGATCTAAGTACGTTTCAAAACCAGTATTTTTACCCTCAAAAAAATACCAATATTTTTAGAACATATTAAAGATAATGTGAAAATGACCAAAATATAAATGGTTTGGCTTTGCGATAATTAACATAATCCCAAGAGCTATCAAAAGTAAGTGCTCCCCTCTTGAAAATGATAGTGATGGTATAATCAAAGCAATCAACAAAATCTGCTGCTTATTAACTATGGCCTTGGGCAAACTACTTAACTTTTCTAAGCTCAAACTTCCTCAACTCTAAAATGAAGATGCATGGCCGGCACTGTGGCTCAATAGGCTAGTCCTCCACCTTGCAGCGCCAGCACACCAGGTTCTAGTCCTGGTCAGGGCACCGGATTCTGTCCCGGTTGCCCCTCTTCTAAGCCAGCTCTCTGCTATGGCCCGGGAGTGCAGTGGAGGATAGCCCAAGTCTTTGGGCCCTGTACCCACATGGGAGACCAGGAAAAGCACCTGGCTCCTGGCTTTGGATCAGCGCGATGCACCGGCCGCGGTGGCCATTGGAGGGTGAACCAACGGCAAAAAGGAAGACCTTTCTCTCTGTCTCTCTCACTGTCCACTCTGCCTGTCAAAAAAAAAAAATTAAAATGAAGATGCTAATAACCAACTGACAGGCTGTAGATGAAAGGGATAAGGTATATAAAGTGCCTAGCATACAGCAAAGCACTGTTACTGTTGTGATAACTATGCCAAATGCACTTGGCCTGTGTCTTATCTTAATACCTAATCAAATAATTAATCTGATAAGTGGTACCTGACAAGAATGGGCATGTATTAAGCCAAATCCCAAACCACCCCTGATTGTAGAGGAGTCTAGGTACCAAATAAATTTGATCTCAGAAGAAATAGTCTTTATATTCAACAGATCTAGGAAACCATTGGCATGTGATTCCCAACTTGAACTTGACTGTTGAAGAAATATTGTTCTAAGCACATGGCATAACCTCCAAGTACTTCCCTCTGTTGTGCTATTATAGTCCTGCAGTCTTTCCTTCCTTACACTATCAAAAATCTTGTGTATTTTCCTATAATCTTTCCTCCCTCTCCCTCTCTGGTTTATCTTTTTTTTTCCTGTCAAAATTATCTGTCCCTGCACTTCTTCTGTCTCTGATTTTTTAATAGTTTCTCGTTTCTCTACATTTCCTTGTTGTTCTCATTTCCTGATTCCCTTTTTCTTGTATTTACTCTTTCTTCCATTCCTTAATAAATACATGAAACATTACATGCATATTTTAAAATACTGAGAATGTTGAATTGTTTTATATTCTTGTCCTTAAAGTAAAAATGTAGTGATTTACTATTTATTATCTTTCTCCCAAATAAAATAAAAATCTCACATAATGGCAAGCAAATTGATTTAAGGTTGTTTTCTAAATTTAATGTAGTTATTCTCATATAAAGATCATTGTTGATTTCATTTTTCCTGGGGAGACATGAATTGTTTAATTTGCTTTAGGAAAAAATGTTTCCTTGTCTGCCCTAACAAAAAGGAACTATGTAAAGATGTCAGTTATGATTGAACAACATTATTTTTACCATGTTGAAATAATAATCATAAAATATTTTTATTTTATAAATTAGCTAAGAAAAATAGTATGATATGGATGGAAGTAAGAGATGGTTAGGGAAAGCAGTTTTCGGCTTTTTTTGCCTGGACCTAAATGATAAACACCAGATACTTACTTCTCTGTTGTCTTGGAGAAACAATCCTCTTTGCTTCACAAATAACCATATTGTATTATCATAATGTTCTAGGATTAATAAAAATTTACATGGTTTTTAAATAATGTGTTATGCATGTAAACTCTTTGTTTTAAAATTAAGGTTTTCATTCATATTCAGTCATGTTTTGAAGGTGAGGTCTTGTAAAATGCTCCTGTTTGCACAACACTCATTGTGTCTACTTTTCCTTTTCTTTAAGCCATGGCTATCTCATGGGTTTATAAGTATATATTATGTTTACTTTTTATTCTGAAATTATTGGACATTACTTCTGAAATATTTAGGAAACACAATAAAGAGGAAGGATTAAAAATCACCCATACTTATACTCTCCATTATATCTGATCTTTTCCATGGGAATATATATTTCCCTTCTCATTTACAGATACCAGAGATATCATACACAGCATTTTACAAGCTATTCTCTCAAATCATAAAATAGTTCCCTTTTATACACTAACCTATTGGGAGTGAATGAATTTTCTACCTCTGAGTGTAGAGCTTTGAATGAGAATTTTGCTGTTAATGAATCTCAGACTTGAGGACATTCGTGGCATTATCTGCAGTTATGTTCATATTTCATTACAGTGTTTTTGGGTGTGACCAATCTCCAAGCCAACCAAATTGAAATGACCAGCTTGTGTGCTCAGTGGCAGATGCACCGTCACGCCACAGCCTACCGGGTAGTAATAGAATCTCTCCAAGGTAAGTACAGTCCATCGCCTGTGTTTTTGTCAAGCACTCAGGTGCTTGGTTCTATGCAAATCACTTTGAACAACACATAGGTAACATTTGACATGAACCCTTTTGTGGAGGAAGATGTTTCTATGGTGCTAAATCATGCAGCATGCAGCACCTGGCGTCATACTGGCTCGTAACCTCGCCAAATTTCCATTTTCTCCTACATTAGCTGATATAGCTGTAGTGCTGATGTTTTAGGGTTCTTGGAGGATTCAGCTGAGATAGGTCTTATGAAGAACTTGTGACAGTGCTTTGTACACAGAGAGCACCTAAGAAATATTAGCTGCTGTTGGTGGTTGGAACCAAATAGCCAGAATGAACAACATAAATCAAAATTGTATGAGGCTGTAATTTTGGTATTTATTTTGTGGGGATCAACTATGAATTTAATGTTTTTCTTAGAGTGTGTCTATAGTTTTTGGGGATATTTGGGGAACATCAGACGGTCATTTTGGAGAAGCTTAATATATCTATTCCATCATGAATAAGTCCTTCGACATCTAGTTCTCAAGTACATCTACAATTTGTTCCAAAGTTCAAACATGAAAAATGCCTCCTTGTCATCATTAAAAATAGCAAGAACAACAACAAAAACCTGATTACCCAAAAATGAGTTTCTAGGGCCTGTTAATCCTCTTATCACAGAGAATACTCAAAAAACTGAACCCAAATGATGAAAATTGCTTTAATCAGATTTGCATAAACAGAGAAGATAAGCTATTTGTCACTTTGTGAGAATTATAGGAGACATTGCAGAATCCAAAATGATTTTTTTAAATCTTCCAATCTTGGCAGTAAAATTGTTTAAAATGTAGCCCATTCTTTCTGGACAAGTGATCTTGGTTTCTTCATTTAATAAAAAGGAGACACTAATTTTTTAAGGTCCAGACAAACTGGGTTTAGCAGCCTTTATCCTTGATAGTAACTACATTCAAAATCCATATATTCCGCTTTTTGATCCACTCCATGAGTGGAAAGTACACTTTAGAAGAGTGCTGAGAGCTTTTGGAAATACGCCTCTGTAGAACATGAATGAGCTGAGATAGGACAAACACAGTAGAAGAAATTACTACCAACTGTTGCCAAGATCCTCCTGCACCACTACTTCCCTGATTCCCTTATGTAAGGATTCCTGTAGCCTGATATAAACTGTACATATGGGAATGACTTTAATCTGGAATAAACATTGAAGAAGAGAAGGTCAGGACAAGTCATATGCGTTTTGTGGATTAAATATGATTTATGGGATACTGAAGTAAAAGTAGATGAAACTTTGAGAAACAACTATAACATCTTGAGGATCACCTCAAGATGTATGTTTCATAATATTTATATACATATACTCTCATACAGAAAATTGATGTTTGGTGGTATTTGCTGAGCTTTAAAAGGTATAATAATCACATTCCCAAATTATCCCACAGCAATTTTATACTTGTCACATAAGAACATGAAATAAGGTCCATGAGCTTCTTTACATACACATTCATTTTTGTAAAATTCTAAATATATAGATTGACATAAAGATATATTAAATATGGATGGCTTTGTTAATGAAATTAGTGAAACACATGTAATTTTATTAAATTTTAATAAAATGCATTTCATAATTTAGTGTATTTGCAAAGCATCACTGATAGTTTTCAAACTTTTATTTATTTCATCTTATTTGAAAGAGGCAGGAGAAAAGAGAGAGAGAGAGTGAGCACTCTCATTTGCAGGTTCATTTCCCAAATGCCCAATGCCCTCAGCAACCAGGACTCAACATAGGACTCCCAAGAGGGTGGTAGGGATCCCAGGACTTGAGCCATCGTTGCTACCTCCCAGGATACCCATCTGCAGAAAGCTGGATCTCAGGCAGAGGCAGGACCTGAATCTAGGCGTTCTGATAGACGATACAGGCATCTCAAGTGCCTTCTTTACGGTTATGTCAAATGTGCACCTCGGCATTGAGATTTTTATCAGAGGGTGTGATTGATGTATGTGATAAAATGGATCTGATAATCAAAAACTCCAGTAACTTCTTCTTGAAGCCAAGATCTTTAAATAGCACAACTGTATTCCCTCAGTATTGTTCTCAGGCTGCCAGAACATTTTCAACTGAGCCTCTGTAGTCTCAGTTAAACAAGGATGTGCAAAAATGTTGTTGAATTTATTTTTCATCAATGCTTATAGCTGGGCAATTTAGGAGAAAATTAGCCTACAACTCAAGTGCCCAGTAGTCAGTTGAATGTTATTTATCAGCAACAGATTCTAATTGACAAAAAGGAATGCTTGTTTAGAGAGTGAGGGAGTGGTGGTAGTAGGAAATATGCTTAGATATTTTAGCTTCCATCAGTTAACTCAAGACGTGATCTTTCTCTTTGGCGTGGGGAAGAGTTAGGCTGCTTTTATTTTATTAAGAAATGTAGTCACCATCATGATTTATTATCTCTGAAGGGCTTGTGGTGAAATATCCATTCTTTCATGTGCCACTGGGTCCCAGAGCCCCAGGTGATTTGGCTCTGTCATATCTTCCATTGGTTGCATAAGCTGCCTCAGCAGAAATTTCTCTCTCTGGTTTCACCAGAGGAGATAATAGGAAGAAATGGTACCAAATTCCCCCATGTTAAAGAGAAGCTTTATCCCAGTGTGACCTATTTCTGAGTATGTCTGCCAGATTTCTACAGTTTGATGAATAACTTTTTCCAGTGATTTATTTCATATACTTGTATTTTCCGAGGCCTGATCATGTACACTTTTTTTTCTAAGCTGGAGCCAGTGGAGAAGTCTCCACTGTAGCCACAGCTGCTGGTCAACTTTCTTCTCTGCTTCAGTTTCTGTGAAGTTAATTCAATTGAATCTAAGGCAGTGCTTACAGATTTTAACGGTTTTGTGACAAAGTAGTTAGGCCATGTCATTCAGGTGTGTTTGTTATAGTCACAGAAATCCAGATAAAAGGAACTTAAGCAAAAAGGTTGGTTAATTGGCTTATGTACTAAAAAGTCCGAAAGCATCCCGTTTCAGACACAGGTGGATCAAAATATTCAAACAATGTTATTGAGAGGAAGTCATGCCCCTTCTTTCTCTGTTGTTTTCTGCTTTCATTCTCAACTAAACTCTGAGTGGACTTCAGTCAGATCCAGAATTATATCTTTCCAGCTCCTAGCTTAGCAGTTTTGGTGAAAATTGAGTTTTCTCTTTCTCAACAGTTCCAACAGAAGTCCAGGAATTGAGTCATATTGGCTTGACTCAAGTCACATGCCCTTAAATCTGTCATTGAGTTCACAGGCATGAAATAAACTGACTGATTAGACCTGGTTGCCTTCCACCCATGTATCTGGTATTGGTAGTGGTGATGGTGGCGATATTCAATCTTCCCTGAAGCAGAAGACCATGAGTGGGAAGGAATGGGTCCAAAGAAAGAGGGATTAGATGCAAGACAGGCAAAAACAACAGATGTACTCTACCCATGTAAATATTATGACATTTTTATGGCCAAGAAAGAAAAAAAAATAAAGATTACCAGAAGGATGAACTCCTCTCAGGAGAGACTGAAATAAAATATGCTTTTGAGTCAGCCACCCACTTGCCAAATTAAATGAAAGGCTTCTGGTTAATTTCAAGACAGACCAAAGTGAGAGAGTTTTGGTTGGTCTTGAGTAACTCAGAACCCTGTGAGAGCCACATTAGTTCTGCGGATACTGTTGAGTTCCATTCCTCTTTTCAGCTGGTTTTGACTTGGTACCGAAGGCTAGGCATAGCATTTTTCCTTCAAGTTCATATGTTTATATTCCATAGAGGCTCAGATACTCTGTTACCTCCTCCATGCTTATAATTTGATGACGTTCTTTATAGCCCACATAGAAAAAGGTCCATAGGATGGTTCCCTTGTCTTTCATTAGGTATTGAGATGCCAATTTTGCTGTTTTACCTGTTAACAAGGACAGAAAATTACAGCATAGTGGAGAGTCAATCTTACCAAAACCACATACAGAAAAAAAAGATCATGTTAACAAAGTCTGTATTCAAAATTCAACTTTTAAATCAATGACATTATGATTGGAGTATAGGTATGATGTGAGAGACCAGGGATGAGAAAGTATATTTCTATTAAATAATTCAAGCAGAATTGTTTTCTGGATCCTGGATGTCCTTTGGTTGGGGATCTTAGTACCTTTTTGTGGGAAATTTTGGTGAGTCAAATTGGTAGAGTCACTATCATCATTGTAATAATACAGAGAATCTGGATAACAATCCAGAAAATGTATTTACCCTTGCTTCACATAAATGAATATACAAATAAAGGCAGGTTTCTTTCCCTCATACCCCCAAATTAAATTGACTTCTTGCTTTCGCTACAAGGGGCTGAGGGTATTAGTCATCATCTGATCAATTTTAATGTTTTTCTTTAAGGCAAAGCCATTAGACCTTAGCTACACATGCCAAAAGCAACATGGATACACCTCTTTCATATAACCCCTCTTTGTTAGTATTGGGAACCAAACTGATACTGTTTGCCATTAATTTTACTGTACCTTTCCAGTTTTCCAATGGTTTATAAAATTTATTTTTCTTTTGGCAGTAAAATCCACTTATATTTTATTTTCAAGGGTCTTTAAAGGGATGGGCATCCACAAGAAATAGGAAATGACAGAAAAGCATATTCTGAATTAATTCCTCAAGAGTCTCTGGAATCTGATAGAACAATCTGATCCATGCACAGGATGCCAGAGATGTGTCTCAGACAGCGGCTCACAGACACTTCCAGGAGGCGGCAAAGGGTGGTGACAGGTCAGAAAGTAACAGTCGCTGTATGGTTCTGAACCTGGGAACCAAGCTGAAGTTGCATGTTAGCAAAGCAGAAAAGCAGAGTACAGGGTTTACTTACTGTCACACTCCTTTCACTGTAATGCGTGATCTCCCAAAAACCTTAACAACTATTTTATTCCATCATTCTATATAATATGAGTAAGATGTGATTAAGGCAGACAGCATTTCATTCTGGACAAACATATGAATAAGGATTCTATTACAAAATTCACCTCTGAAACTCTTTAATATTCATAATATATAAAAATAAATTTCAAATGTTAACAAGTGACTTTAATTTTACTTTAAAAAGTCAGTATTTGTCCATAGAATTAAAAATGACAAACATGTTTATTTGAATATATGCATATATTTTGTTCCCACATATATTGAAATATATATTGAAATTTGACCATATATTAAATGTTCAAAATAGACAAAACTGTTACTTGGCATTTTTGTATCTTTCATTTAATAAAGCAACTGGTCTGTTTTTATATTTTCTAGATTTTCCTTTTTCTTTTTGATTGACATAATAATTACATATTTATGGGGTATAGTGTGATAATTTGATGAATGTATACAATGTGTGATGATAAAAGCATGATAAATAGCATTTCCATCTTTTTAAATATTTGTATTCAGTTATTTGAATAAACTTCCTTGAAAATAACATTTAACTGAATAGATCTTGGTAGCCACTAAATAATATACATAAGTACAAGTATCTGAACAGTGCAATTTTTTTCACTCAAGAATCATGAAGTTTACTATTTCTTTTCCCATCATTTGGCACATTTCCAAGGCACACTAGAAAGTTAGAAATCATAAATTACTTTGTAGAAAAATAATCATCCTCTCCCTTCTATATATATACACAAGTATTTCCAAAAACATGCACAGAGCCATTTCCTTATTACAAAGTTATTTGAAAATGTTCTCAGGACAAACCCATGTTGAGCAATGCAATTTTTAAAAACTAATTTTAAATTTCTAAAAATAAGATTTTATAAGGCTTTGATTAAACAGATGTAATTATGGACCAAAAGAAGATTGAACTAGGGGGAAATTTGAATAATTATCTTTTTCATGGTAGCAGTAACAGTGCCTTTCAACCAGTTATCCCTTGTGGAAAAAACAATAATGTATGCCTGTGAAGAAAACTCCCTTGAGAGTCTTCTGTTATTAAAGCCACCCAATTAAACCCTGTCCAATAGAGTAATAAAGTATTGAGTCATAGGACTCCTCATCCCCAGGCTATCATGTTTGCTTATTTAATATGCACTTAGCAGCCCTCAAACAGTTTCATTTTGAAAAATAGTATTTTAAATTTATATTTTTATGATATATTAGTGGAAATTATAACAATATCCTCTGAGACTGGGCATTAGAATTCTGAATTCAAATCTCAGTTCTGCTACATAGTGTATGGACTTGGGGAAGTTATTCACTTTTCTGACCTTCAGTTTCATGGCTTTAGATTGAGGATGATTTATAGATGTTATAAAGAGCCAAAAGAGTTAATACATATAAAATACTTAGACTATTTCTTGGCATGTTGTAAGCACTCATTCAAAGTTGGCTATTATTGTCTTTGTTGTTATTGTTAGCATTAAATATCAGACACACAGCCTGATGGCCAGTAAGCCCTGCAGAAATGAACATAGTTAATCTGTTTCTGTAGGCTCCAGACTAAAGGGCTGGCACAAACTCTTCCAGAAGAAGCACAATAACTTTGCTGTGATTGTGGGAATGGAGAAAGGGTCCAACAGTTGGATCCCAAAAATTCCTTGTGCTTCTACAGTGGTGGGGAAAATGATAGATGATACTTCATGGAATTGGCCGTCGATGATGTGTCTCTTTGGTACTACATAAAGAAACCTGGAACCAGGAACTGGGGACAGTTCTAAAGCATGTCTCACCCTAAGTCACTTAAACACCATATCCTGTTTCTTCAAGTATCGTTTTAAAGGAATAAAAAAATTTTCAGAGTAGATCCAGGGAATTTGGAGAGCTTCCTCTGAGATTGCTTGGAATCTCCTCTGCAAGTGGAGGAAATCATGAGTATGAGTTAAAACTCAAGGTTTGAAGGAGGGGATTAAGAATGCAGGGATTCCCTGCTTGTCCCAGGATTTCTCCAAGCTCTTGCCTGAATGTTTAGAAGCTTTGAAAAGTATCTGGGCCCTTGGGTGAAGCTTCTGAGACCCTGGAACCCTAACTCCTAGACTGAAGGCATGATGTCTGCCAAGACCCTGTGTTTTCTAACTCTATACTCTTCAGACTAGAGAGTTGGATGGTAAGAAGTTGTTTGGATTCTGTTGGATGGTAAGAAGTTATGTGGTACCAAAAGGATGGGTTCCTCTGTGTCTATCTGTTTTATTGTGTTTCAGAGAATCATGTTGAATAAGGGAGTTCAGATTTTTAAAAATATAAATACATCCACACCTATCCAACAAATCAGTTAAGATGTATGTACCTTATTGTGTTTATTAATTGTCCTTCATTTAGCTGGCTGCAGGAGTCTTTTACAGTAAATTTCATTTTTATACATATAAAATGTGATTTTTAACTAAAAGTCAGTGGCTATCATCTATTAATGGCTGTTTTCAAAACTTTCCTATGTGTGTGTTTTGTTTTGTTTTATTATAGATACACAAAAGCAAGAATCCACTGTGAGTGGAGGGACAACTAGGCATTGCTTCTATGGACTTCAGCCTGATTCAGAATATAAAATCAGTGTTTACACAAAGCTCCAAGAGCTTGAGGGACCTAGTGTGAGCATAATGGAAAAAACAGGTAAGTGAAGGATATTCTTTCCTGATCCCCCTACCCATGAGCAGTGTTGTCATCCTCCTAGGTCAGTTCAAATACCTTATTCCATTCAGAGAAATACTACCCACTGCTGCCCAGGAATAGGTGTAATACAACATTTGCTCCCCCTTTCCAGCCCCAGAATTCATTGCATGTGGCTCACTGATGTCATCCTTATGGCCTTTTTGTTTTTACCACCCTCTGTATATGTTTCACAAAGGACTATGAGGCCATATGATGGCAGAGGACTTGAAACAATGATTTCTATTGTGACTCATATCCATAAGGAACATTTGTGGTATGGGTAGTGTGAAACGGAGTTTAAGGATGGGGTCCTGACATTCAAAGATGGCATATTACCACAGCCATGAGGGTGGGAATGGAGCCAGGATGTTCCAACTGGCTGACCCTAGTCACTGCCTGCTTAAGAGGCTCTTGTGATTTTTCCAACTTGGCTGCAGATCTGATGCACCAAAGGGAAAAGCAAAGTATAAAATGAAAACAAAGCACTTTTCACATGTTCCAAAGTGCAAGAAGAGTGTCAGCTTCTTGGAATGGATTTTAATCAAGGATTCTTGCTCTGGAGACTGCAAATGTTGAAATGATTTGAATTGTTGTGGATTCTGGGAGACACTGTGTGCTTGACTCAGTATCTGGTACTTGAATTTGAAATCCCTGAGGATATGTGCCTGAATTGCGATTGGGTAATGTCCTCCTTGATAGTCCCTTTACCATGTATATGGTTCTTAGAAAGAACTACCTGCTATAGACAGATAATTTAGTTTCTTTGGCACATATAGAAAAACAATCATCAATGTGAGACCTTTAAACACAGAGAGTAAGGGTATAAATTGAGCTATCTAATCTTTTTGTGATAAAATGTTATTTAATAGCGTGAAATATTCAACAATTTCTATTACTTGTATATTTTTTAAGTATAATTTACATACCATGAAGTTTAAGTGCCATCCTACATGTACAATTCAATGATTTTTAGTGCATTTAAAGAGTTGTGTACCCATAACTACAGTCTAATTTTAAAAAGTTTCCATCATCCCAAAGGTAGCTTTCTGGCTGGCGCCGCAGCTCACTAGGCTAATCTTCCGCCTGCAGCACCGGCACACCGGGTTCTAGTCCCGGTCGGGGCGCTGGATTCTGTCCCGGTTGCCCCTCTTCCAGGCCAGCTCTCTGCTGTGGCCAGGGAATGCAGTGGAGGATGGCCCAAGTGCTTGGGCCCTGCACCTGCATGGGAGACCAGGAGAAGCACCTGGCTCCTGCCTTTGGATCAGCGCAGTGCACCGGCCTCAGCGCACCGGCCGCGGTGGCCATGGACGGTGAACCAACGGCAAAAAGGAAGACCTTTCTCTCTGTCTCTCTCTCTCTCACTGTCCACTCTGCCTGTCAAAAAAAAAAAAAAAAAGTAGCTTTCTTGCCTGTTCACAGTTTCCTTTCTCATCCTCAGCCCAAGGCCATCAACTTTCTTTTATTATATATTTGCCTTTTGGGGACATTTGATGCAAACAGAGATATACAATATGTAATCTTTTGCCTCTGGCAAATGTTTATCCATGTTGTAGAATCTATCAGTTGTTCCTTTTTATTGCTGATTAGAATTCCAGTTTGTGAATATATATCATATAATTTTGAAGTTAAATAGGGGCCCGGTAGTACACAAAATTTATTAGAGTCAAACAGATTGGGTTGAGCCTCTTGTTCTGCTACATTTTAGCATTGTAGCCCTGGGCAGTTAAACATCTCTGAACATCTTTTTTGTTTCCCAATAAAACTGAATAACTACCATTTTGCCTCCAATGGTAGCAGAAAAGATCCAATGAAAGAGTTTCTATTAAAGAGGTTTTCAAGTTGTATCTCACTGAATAAGTACTTCTGTCATCACCATTATTATCTTATCTCTTTTTTAAAAAAAGAATTTATTTATTTTATTTGAAAGGGAGAGTTACAAAGAGGCAGAGGCAGAAGCAGAAAGAGAGAGGTCTTCTACCTGCTGGTTCACTCTCCAGATGGCCTCAATGGCCAGAGCTACACTGATTCGAAGCCAGGATCCAGGAGCTTCCTCCAGGTCTCCCATGCCGGATGCAGGGGCCCAAGGTCTTGGCCCATCTTTTACTGCTTTCTCATTCCATAGCAGAGCTGGATTGGAAGTAGAGCATCTGAAACTCGAACTGCTGCCCTTATGGGATGCTGGCACTGCAGGGTGGCAGCTTTACCCACTATGCCACAGCGCTGCCCTGCTACCATTATTATCTTCTTTGAAGTCACAAGCTAATGGCCATAGGGCTAGATCTCACTATCAGCCATGTTTTTTCTAGATCATACTTTTTAATTTTAATTTTTAAGTTCTTTTGAAAATTCAAAAAACACTGCAACACGGGACCTATATACTCTGATGGTGCTGATCTGTTGGAACAAGTTAACTGCTGTCTATTGAGACAGTGCATGAACACTCAAGTTTGCTACCATTCCTTAATAGTTAGGCTAACTTCTTTGCTTATATGACTTATATGGCCTATAAAATATTCAAATTTGGAATCCCTGGTCTATTTTACGTTCCCTTAATGTTATCCCACAACTGTCAGTTTCCAACCTAGGGTTAATTCGAGTTGGATAGCTCTGTTTGATGTAAATGTTTTCCTTATGTTGGAGACATCTGTCTTCTTCCACCCATTGACTCTAGTCCAACCTTCTGAAGCAGTGCAAACCAAGACTGTTCTTTCCTGTGTATGTGACAGCCCCTCACATACTTGAAGATGGGGACCATCTGTATGCCACGTGCAGATATAAGCACGTCTCACCAGTTCATGGTGGTTCTTTTCACCGTAGAGAGTCTTTGGCCTAAGTTTCTGTCCAAACATCATGATTTGTCTGCCATTGCCCCTCATTGATTTCGCTCTTGATTCATTGACCAAATTGGGGAAATGCCTTAATTGCGCACATTAAAGAAGGTACATGTTTATAAGGATAGCCTACTATTGGCACACATTTTAAGGTGAATAAATCTCAGCTTATAAATGTTTTGTTATGCTTTCAAGAAAGCTTTACCACTAGTATTTCTCAAAGATTTTTACTTTTGAAACTTTTTAGCTTCAAAAAATTATCTCCAAAAATAATAGTGAGATAGGTAGCTGTAAAACAGAAGTGCATTAAGTGCTTTGTCAGTTTTCCTCTTTCTTCATTCTTCCTTTCCAGAAATATCCATCTTTACCTCTGTGGTTTCCTTCAAGAAATTCTGATTTTATAGATGTGAGTGTGTCTCGTGTGTGTGTGTAAATAGTATATATATATATATATATATATATATGCATTTTTTCACAAATGAAATCATGCCATGGTATTCTCATGTTTCATTTTGTATATTAATTAACTTGGACTTTTTCATATCAGTGTTAATATAGTTACCTCATTCTTTTAATTCTGAATTATTTTATTTAAATAATTTTTTTGGATTTTAGAGTTGGAGCGGATCTTAAAATTTACCTCATCCAGTCAAAGGGAGCACATAAACAAGTCTAGTACCTGCTAACACTAACCGATGGAATAAATAAAGGGGAGAGTGATCCAACATGGGAAGTGAGATACTCAGCAGACTCATAGAATGGCAGATGTCCTAAATAGCACTCTGGCCTCAGAATCAGCCCTAAAGGCATTCGGATCTGGCTGAAAAGCCCATGAGAGTATTTCAGGCATGGAAAGCCAAGACACTCTGGCAAAAGATCTCTGCGAGTGAGATCCCAGTGGAAAGAACAGGTCTTCAAAGAAGGAGGTACCTTTCTCTGAAGGGAGGAGAGAACCTCCACTTTGACTATGACCTTGTCTAAACAAGATAAGAATCGGGGAACTCAGAGGGCTTCCATAGCCTTGGAAACTCATGACCGGAGCATAGGGAGACTACTGATGCCACAGACAGGAGTGTCAATTGGTAAAGTCAACAATAGGAGTCATTGTGCACTTACTCCTCATGTAGGATCTCTCTCCTTGATGTGCTGTGTATTGAGATTTAATGCTATAACGAGTACTCAAACAATATATTTCACTTTGTGTTTCTATGGGGGTGCAAACTGTTGAAATCTTTACTTAATACATACTATACTAACTGATCCTCTGTTGTACGGAGCTGATAGAATCAAAAAAAAAAAAAGAGCGAAAGAAATTATCAACTCCCAACTTGACTCTCACTGGGATTAAACATGACATTAGGTCTGATCTGATTTCATCATCATTTAAAAAAAAATCATCTATTATTTCTCACTTTATGTTTCTGTGTGAGAGCAAACTGTTGAAATCCTTACTTAATGTATACTAAGCTGATCTTCTGTATATTAAGATAATCGAAAATGAATCTTGATGTGAATGGAAGGGGAGAGGGAGTGGGAAAGGGGAGGGTAGTGGGTGGGAGGGACGGTATGTGGGGGAAGCCATTGTAATCCATAAATCGTACTTTGGAAATTTATATTCATTAAATAAAAGTTAAAAAAAATATTTACCTCATCCAAACGTCTTGCCAACAAGAGAACTCCCTTTGTAATTTTCTGGGCAGATGGTTAGTCTGCCAGAGCCCAAATTCTACTGGGCTATTTAGTGCTTACTATCTCCTGAGGTTGGACATCCCCTTTGTGAATAGCTCTGATTACTAAGCAAGTTTTCCTATATATTAAACTTAGACGATGAGAAGAATTTTCTGTTTTTCTTAAATCTCTAGTACCAAATAAGAATAATTAGTGAATACATAATAAATATTTTGTGTTTTCCTAATGACATCATAACTTCCTAGTGCTTTGGCACTGAACTGCTATGAGTATCACTACTTTGATCTAACTGTCCCCAGATCCTGTAGCCAAACCACACCTCTGCATAGTGTCTGGGTATCTCATCCCATATCATCCAGGTTGAAAATATTTAAATAAGTTCTAGCCTGCCAATGTTTACACTTGGTACTCAGAACTGAAAAACGTTTTCCAGATACAACCCACGCAGACTCGAGAGTGAATCAGATTCTACTGCTAACCAACATCCTAGGGGACACATGGTGGGAAAAGGAGGAAACGCTACTGAGCAAGGATTGATGTTCAACCCTTGGTTAGGGAGAGTGAGAATGAAGTCAGTTGTATGTGTGTAGCCAGACACTAAATCTGAAATGGCCTGACAAGATTCCTGCCTTAAATCATGTTGTAACACCCTTGGAGTTGAGAGGTTGATTTCATTGACTCCTGCTGTGTAAACTGAATTGTGGCATTTCAAGCCTTTAGTCTGAGTATGAGAGGGTGGACGGGGCCAGTTTCCACAGGCCGTGGCTGATTTGTAGTAGTCATTAAATTCTCAAAAGAGATAGTTGTCAAAATCATTGACTCCCCAGAATAATTATTACTCTGTCACTCCCTCTCTTCCCACAGAGAAGATGATAATCGATGTTGTTTCTCCCTCTCCTTTGCAGAATCCTTTCCAACTGAACCACCAACTTTTCCTCCAACCATTCCACCAGCAAGAGAAGGTAAAACCAATACAACAATAATAATGTGACCCTAGATCTGTGATTTCTGTTTCTTTTTTGCTGTTGACTTTTAACCGGGTGTTACTAAAAGGTATTTATTTGCTACTTAATTTTCTTCATAACAAGTGCTTGTCAAACCATAATGTGATAATTTGGAAAAATTAACCACTTAATAATGAGTTCTGTACATAAAGAGTGGCTTTTATAAAATAACCGATTAATATTGAAAATGTGAGTAGTAAATGTTCGCCAACAAAGAATAGTTGTGTAATTTGGTGAAAGTCCAGTTTATGATACGGTAGTCAAGAGTGATTGCTTTCCAGTTTCCCTTTGAAATGCCTTTCCCATTTGTTCTTTCTGACATCACAACAGTTCTTAGAAATTTTTACCTGAGCTATGAAGGTAACTTTTAGAAATGCCTCTCAACAAAATAGTTAGTTCTTTGTCATTCCATGAATAGATGTTTATTAATCCTGCTATTCATTGTCAGTGCTCTTATACTAGGCTTGAAGAACATATTCATAATACATGGTTGCTGCTCTATGCTTACTGTCAGTGTTACAAGAGAAATGGGTGCTTGCCTAGGTAATTACCAAATACACTAAAATAGAGATTGTATGATGGTAGCTCAGAAATGAAAACAGTTAATGCCATCATAGGTTAATGGCTTATAAAGAATAAGGAATTTAAGCTACATTTTGAGGAATGGGTAAGAGAGATAAATAATGGAATGAAAACACTTAGAATGATAAAGTAATCCAAGTGAATGATGTATTTGAGGAACTCTAAATGTTTCAGTATAGCACATAGAAAAAGGTTAGGATAGAGTTACTAACAGGTTTGTAGACCAGAATCAGGAGTCTGGACTTTATATTAAAGGAAATGACCTGCATGAGAAGTTTGGGTTAAGGGAATATGGCTTGACAAAATTTATGTTTGAGAAAGGGAAACTTACGTTTGGAAATGGGATGGACGGCTGAAGGGAGAGGGCATGTAGTTGAGAGGGTGCATTGGAAGCTTCTTCCATTCACTACACAAGATGCCATACATGCCACAGATATAATGAAAAATAAATTGTTTTTATCATACAGGAGCTAAAAGTCAGTGGAGTCAGAGTGGACTGTCAGGGAAGCAAAGAGGCAATGAGAAACTCTGATAAAGTACAAAATCTATCCTACCACAGCACGAATGTCTTCTGTAATCAACCCAACTTGTGGCATCGTTTCCTACATCATGTTATGTGACAGCAAAATTGTACAACTGTGCATTCCCCACACTTGTCTCCTGATATCCTGCATCTTTCAAACTATGTTCATACTATCTAGAACACCAAACTCTCCTTCCATCTTCATATCTAGCCTTCTCTAGTCTAAATATCTATGATTATTCACACTGTTGACACTGAAAATACAATCCCAATTAAATTTACTAATTAAGCCTTTCTGATGAAGGTATTACAGAATGCTTTGAGCTCAGAACATTTTTATTTATAGCTGAACTTGGATATCATTCACTAGATATTCATGATTTCTCTTGGGAATCCTAGGTGATTTGGAAAGGTCTGTGCAAATAAAGATCAGCAAGGAGGATACACTGGTTCTGAAATTTTCATCATGATGCTTTACATGGTGGGACCTCTGCAACTTGAATGGATTATTCATTTTAGACTGTCTGCCCTGAATTTATTTAAAATTCTATAATTTTTGTTATTATAGTAATACTATTTATTAAACAAACATTAAAAAGTAGGAAAAATTTAAAGAAGAAAATTAAAAACACAAGTTTGTGTCCCAGAGGTAATTCCTTCATACTTGTTGGTATATTTTCTTTCTTTTCTGTGGTTTTGAAAAATTTTCATTTTGAGTACATTTTTAAGTGGATTTTGCTCTCTTTTTGAAGCTGAAGCCTAATCTTTATTTAATCTTTCCTTGGAAATAGATGGTCTCATTTTAAGAACTTAAAATTAACAAATATTATGATCCTTTTCAGTTTTAAATTCAAACCACAAATTTGTAAAATTTTGTAAATTGCAGAACTCATGAAAATAATCACACAAGGTCCTTAAAAATTCCTAGAGAATTACTTCAGTTAAAGATAGTTAATTTTATATTATAAATAGCTTGTAAGAGAATAAAATTGCATTTAGTATGATAAAAACCCAACTGCAGTTTTTTGAAGGAAAGGAGAAAGGCGCTTTACTCATAGAATACTTGTGTGCAACTGGCCCAAGATGAAAGGACTCAGATTATTGAAGAGTAAATTGTTTGCTTCATCATAAAATGGAATCAACCACAGTGATTTACACTAATGAAGGGGAAGAAAGGCACAGATAATCTGAAACAGTCCATGATACTGGAAAAAGACTGTTATAAATGCTTTCAAGGGAGTAGTGCTTTGTTGGTAGTGGTTTATCCTTTGTTGTTCAATTATATTTTTATCTATTAATGCTTGCCACTAATAGTTTCCCTGGGCTAGCATTAGTGTACATTTCCTGACATGTATCAGTGGATAGTAGAAAGGCCTAGACAATTTTTGAGCAAGGGTGGAATTAAAATTTGCTATGGCCTCAGGCCAAATATGTATCAAAGTGTAGATTAGATTAGCCTGCTTCCATTGTTTCACATGCCTTCCCTTTGAGCTTGAATATCTTTAACATTAACTTGCTGACTGAAAAGGCAGAGGGTAGGGTGTGCAGCATGGTACCTTGGCATTTCTTCCAATCGGTAGGCACCAGACATCATTTGCTCATGTTTTTGTCTCTAAATGTCTTTAGTTCCGCATTCTCCTATTCCCTCATTCTCTTTCTTTGGGGATTAAATTAGTGGACTTTTTTCTCTGTTTTCCAATGCCCATAGAAGCTGTTTAGTCATAAATAGGAACCTTGAGTATAGAAGAGAAATGTTGGTGAGGAAACAGGGTGAGCAAGAGTTTGGAAGATAAACCTTAACAGCTTCATATGTCTCCTTTGAGAGAGCCTTAGTCACCAGAGGGAAATCATTATCTGTCTTACTGGCTTAGTTACTACTATGGTTTCCCCTTATCTCTGATTTAAAATTCATTCTTGGTCTTCAGTATGTAAAGCTGCCAAGGCAGACCTGGTGTTTATGGTGGATGGGTCCTGGAGCATTGGAGATGATAATTTCAATAAGATCATCAACTTCCTGTATAGCACAGTTGGAGCCCTGGACAAGATTGGCACAGATGGAACTCAGGCAAGTCTAATAGAGCAATCACTAATTCATCTTTACACAGGTAAACATTATTGCTTAACCCTTATTCTGGCTACTTGTCAGGGAGTATAATAAAGAACAGTAATGGTTGGATTCAACTCTAAATGAAGTATAGGTAAAAATCTGCATTTGAAAGCAGTGTATTTATACCTGGTTGAGTCAAGTTACCAGGCCTAGATTGCCTTTGTACATCTGTCAAATGAGGTGACAAAAGTCCCATAGGGGCCGGCGCCACGGCTCACCTCCACCTGCCTCCACCTGCAGCGCCAGCACCCCAGGTTCTAGTCCCGGTCGGGGCGCCTGATTCTGTCCCAGTTGCTCCTCTTCCAGTCCAGCTCTCTGCTGTGCCCTGGGAGTGCAGTGGAGGATGGCCCAGGCCCTTGGGCCCTGCACCCGCATGGGAGACCATGAGAAGCGCCTGGCTCCTGGCTTTGGATTGGCGTAGCTCCGGCCATGGCGGCCATTTCGGGGGTGAATCAACAGAAGGAAGACCTTTCTCTCTGTCTCTCTCTCACTATCTAACTCTGCCTGTCAAAAAAAAAAAAAAGAAAAATAAATAAATTTAAAAAGTCCCATAGGCCTTAGAGATTTAAAAACTATATTTCTTGAGAAATACTTACAGGAAAAATGCTAGTCATTTTCAAATTTGGTATGTAACTTATTTGAAATTTTAACCCAAGATGAACATGGAATGGATTAAGGAAGAAATTAAAATTGTAGGTGATATTGTGGTATGATATTTTTTCTCTGACCCAGTAGAAATCTCCATATGTACAAATGACTCCACTTCTCTTTCTAGGTTGCAATGGTTCAGTTCACTGATGACCCCAGAACAGAATTTAAACTAAATGCTTACGAAACCAAAGAGACTCTGCTTGATGCAATTAAACGCATTTCATATAAAGGAGGAAATACAAAAACAGGTAAGATTAAACAAATCCAGCGAGGGTCCAAAGTAATGAATTACTAATAACTATTAAAATGAGCTTGTTTTGAGACAGACGTTTTCAAAAGGATTTTTCTTTAATAACTTCTTCCCTATCCTTTCCTCCCAGTAAAACAAAAATGGGAGGGATTGAAATTAAATATTGTCTTCCTTTATTTCAGGAAAAGCAATTAAGCATGTTCGAGACACCTTGTTTACTGCAGAGTCAGGTACAAGAAGAGGAATCCCAAAAGTCATTGTGGTTATAACTGATGGACGATCACAAGATGATGTGAACAAAATCTCCAGGGAGATGCAATCAGATGGTGAGTTTTATGTTTAGAAACAATAGGGGTTTCAAATAAAGTCAGAACTTTTGTTTTCTAAATACAAATTTATAGTCCTCATCGGCATTCCTTAAATGTTTCCAAATCTTTCTTAATACTAACTTGACAATGTGATTTTTAAAATTCCTTCTGTATTACCAATCTGTAATTACATTGATTTATTAAAGAAAATTTATCACTCTAATACCATTTTTATGTGCAGGATGCCTAATATAAGGATCTCCATCAGTTAACTGCAATATTTAATATAAAGGACCAGGGGGAAAAACTCACCATAGAACCTCTTCAGCTCTCTATCCTGTAAAAGGGATTCTCACAGGACTGCTGTGAAATTTAAATTACATGAAATATGCGTGGAATATGGTAGTTTGGTATTTATTTGCCAAGCATTGAATGCTGACTTACCTCCTGGTGGAAAGAAGGGACCATCAAAAAAGGAGGTACCTTTCTCTGAAGGGAGGAGAGAACTGCCACTCCAATTAAGATTGGAGTTTGTGAACTCAAGAGGCTTCCATAGCCTTGGCAGCTCAAGACAAGAACCTCGGGTGATCACTGACATCATAAATAAGAGTGTCAATTGTTAAATCAACAACAGAAGTCACTGTGCACTTACTCCCCATGTAGGATCTCTGTGCTTAACGTGTTGTACTATGAGAATTCATGGTAAAACTAGTCTTCAAACAGTACTTTATGCTTTGTGTATCTCTTTGGGTGTAATCTGTTGAAATCTTTACTTAGTAAATACTAAGTTGATCTTCTGTATATAAAGATAATTAAAAATGAATCTTGGCTGGTACTGCAGCTCACTTGTCTAATCCTCAGGCTGCAGCGCCAGCACCCTGAGTTCTAGTCCCGGTTAGGGCACCAGATTCTGTCCCGGTTGCTCCTCTTCCAGTCCAGCTCTCTGCTGTGGCTCGGAAAGGCAGAGGAAGATGGCCCAAGTGCCTGGGCCCTGCACCCACATGGGAGACCAGGAGGAAGCACCTGGCTCCTGGCTTCTGTTCGGCGCAATGCGCCGGTCATAGCGGCCATTTAAGGGGTGAACCAATGGAAACAGGAAGACCTTTGTCTCTCTCTCACTGTCTAACTCTGCCTGTCTAAAAAAAGAATGAATCTTAAGGAAGAATGGGATGGCAGAGGGAGTGGGAGATGGGATGGTTTATGGGTGGGATGGCAGTTATGGGGGAAAAAACTGCTATAATCCAAAAGTTGTACTTTCAAAATTTATATTTATTAAATAAAAGTTTTCTAAAATATTGCTAGGCCTATTAATATCTTCATTTCTGTTTCTGAAAACTAAGACACAAACAGAAAAATGAGACAAATTTAGTTTCTCCGTCTCAACTATTAAAATGGGCAATCGGCTGGCGCTGCGGCTCAATAGGCTAATCCTCTGCCTTGCGGCGCCGGCACACCGGGTTCTAGTCCCAGTTGGGGTGCCGGATTCTGTCCCGGTTACCCCTCTTCCAGGCCAGCTCTCTGCTGTGGCCCAGGAGTGCAATGGAGGATGGCCCAAGTGCTTGGGCCCTGCACCCCATGGGAGACCAGGAGAAGCACCTGGCTCCTGCCTTTGGATCAGCGTGGTGCGCTGGCCGCAGCGCGCCAGCCGCGGCGGCCATTGGATGGTGAACCAACGGCAAAAAGGAAGACCATTTTCTCTGTCTCTCTTTCTCACTGTCCACTCTGCCTGTCAAAAAAAAAAAAAAAAAAAAGGCAATCGCAGAGATGTTACTTAAATGGGAACTATTTGGTCTCAGGCGCTAACTGGGGCATTGGCCTTCTTGAGTTTCTTTAAAATGGAAAATTTCTTTGAGGGGATGATGGATAATTATCACATAATGAAATAAGTGCAAGTAGAATTCTGACAGACTGTACAGAATGAATTATCCACCCCCATTGGCCTTCCTAAATAAACATATTTTAAACATTTGGACTTGTCTTGTAATGCACTATTTGTATTTTGTGCAATTTAAAGTAATCAGAAATCTATTTCCCTTCCGCCACAGGCTACAACATTTTTGCAGTCGGTGTGGCCGATGCAGATTACTCAGAGTTGGTTAACATTGGCAGTAAGCCCAGTGCGCGCCACGTCTTCTTTGTGGACGATTTTGATGCCTTTAAGAAGATTGAAGATGAATTAATTACTTTTGTCTGTGAAACCGCATCAGCAAGTTAGTTTTTTGGAATTTGCACTTACTTGTGTTGTTTAAAGGCTTAACTATTTAGTACTGATGAAACAAGGACTCCCAGGTTGATCTGAGAAAAGAATATTGACTTCTTGTGCTATCTGTTAAGCAGACATTAAGGTTTATGGCATTGCACATATGGAATAACCTGCCCTCTGCTTTGTTTAGAGTTTTAGGTTGATAAAGCTTTTTCTTATTGGATGAGAGGATATGTTTAAAAGCAGCTGTGCCTAAACACAAATGGCAGTTTTCAAAAGTGTATTAAGACTGCTTATTTGGAAAATGAATTAGAATGCACTGTCTTCTGACACATGCTGCCAATGACAATGATTCTGGTGGGCCACAAGAAGTAGAAGAAAGCTGTGGCCCTCTGGTGTTAGTGAAGACATTGAAGTATTTCCATCTTTGTGAAACCACAGAAAACCATAGCCACATCTGATAGGGAACCCTTCCACACACTTCCTGAAAGACTAGGCTAGTTTCCACTTCTCAGGACAGGAAAAGAGTATGCTTGGAAAGTGTCTACATGAGGGGTTTACATTGTTTGTTTTGTTTTCCAGCCTGCCCACTATTGCACAAGGATGGCATTGATCTTGCAGGTATGCACTATCATATTTTTTTCAAATAAAAATATCTTGCATAACTCTTATCTGAGGTCCAAGTTTCTGTTTTTATTATTATTTTTAAATCCTTAATAGAAAAACCTTGAAATTTAAAACTCTGAAGTGTGTGTTCATTCTTGTTCTCTCTTTCCGTCTTTTAGGATTTAAGATGATGGAAATGTTTGGTTTGGTTGAAAAGGATTTTTCATTGGTGGAAGGAGTTTCTATGGAGCCCGGTACCTTCAATGTGTATCCTTGTTACCAGCTCCACAAAGACGCTCTGGTTTCCCAGCCAACTAAGTATGTTCCTGTTGCAAGATGTTAAAGCAATCATTTGTTTACTGGCTCTTAATATAAAAATTATATCAATTTGAAATATGCTCTAATGGCTCATATGAATTTCCATGATGTTTAAGAGCAGCTAATGTTTACATCTTGTGTTTTAAAACACCAGACTCGGCCGGCGCCACAGCTCACTAGGCTAATCTTCCGCCTGCAGTGCCGACACACCAGGTTCTAGTCCCAGTTGGGGTGCCGGATTCTGTCCCAGTTGCTCCTCTTCCAGGCCAGCTCTCTGCTATGGCCTGGGAGTGCAGTGGAGGATGGCCCAAGTGTTTGGGCTCTGCACCCCATGGGAGACCAGGATAAGTACCTGGCTCCTGCCTTTGGATCAGCGTGGTGCGCTGGCCGCAGCGCACCAGCCGCGGTGGCCATTGGATGGTGAACCAACGGCAAAAAGAAACACCTTTCTCTCTGTCTCTCTCTCACACTGTGCACTCTGCCTGTCAAAAAACAAAAACAAAAACAAAAAAACAACAGCAACAACAAAAACAACCACACCAGACTCACATGTAACACTCCCGGAATTTTAGTATAATTGATTGTAGGACATGAATATAAGTAGTTGATACTTACATAGCAAGACAATGTATCAGGCATTGTTCTAAATGCTTCTGTATGTTTACTCATGCAAACGCCAAATGATTCTGTGAGTTGGACTTGGTTATTATCTCAATTTTATGAAGGATTAAACCAAAGCACAAAGAAGTAATGGTTTGTATGAGGTAGCACAGTTTGTTAAATGATCCAAGCACTGAACTGTTTGACAATAATGCCATGACTCAGAAGGCTTTTACCCTTGAAAAGTAACAACAGCAACTCTAGACAGTTGAAGAGTAGTGTCAAGTTTAGGTAAAAGTCACATTATCTAGCCACATTGCAGACAGTCTGTAGGACACATGGGGCTCCATGGGGCCATTTTCAGCAACTCTGCAGATTGCTGAAGGCCATGAGATCATGGTTGAAGGGATCATCCCTCAAACCCTGAAATCTGCTACTTTAGATTCCAAACCAACATTTGTTTTTGTCCTTCTTAAAAATTTATTTTATTTCCTTGAAAGGCAGAGTGACAGAGAGATAGGGAGAGACAGAGAGATTTTCTGTCCTCTGATTCACTCCCCAAATAGCCACAATGGATGGGACTGGTCCAGGACAAAGATACGATCCTGGAGTTGCATCCAGGTCTCCCATGTGGGTGATGGAATTCCCAGGTGCATTGGCAGGAAGCTGGATTGGAAGCGGAGCTGGTGCTCCAATATGGGATGTGGCTTAATGCCACAATGCTGCCTCCTCACCCGCACCTTTTAAAATGTTTTTGTCTTAGAATACCATTGATGTTTCATGTGGAACATTTTCAGAGTATTTGAATTTTGATATACTGTGCACATGGACACAAAAAAGTGAGAAAGATTGTGTTAGAATATTAGATTCAATTTTCCCATTTATAAAATATTTTTCCTGTATTCTTCAAAGATGTCATTTATTAAATATTAACCTATATTAGTACTGTCAAAATTCTTTTTTGTGCTTATTGTGGGGAATAATATTTGAAATTAGTAGAGCTTTGCTAATAATTTAAGTATTTCTTCTTACAGGTATAGCTCCATTTTCTAAAACAAAGTTAAGAATGTCTGTCCTGCAGAATATGTGTATTGTTTTAGACAAACCCAAAATCTAGTGTTCCTGTCTAGCAGGACTTTCTCATATTGTTTAATGATGACTATTAAAATGGGCATCTGAAAATATCATTCCCAGAAGACTAGCCTGAAATGAGAATCGCTAGCATCTCATCCTCTTATATCCCACTGAAATGCCTATCCAGTCAGCAATACTGTCCATCCACTGTGCTAAATGCAACCATCAGTTCCCTTCCCTTTTATTCCTTAACCTATCTTCATCATTTGGGTCAGTAGATTACTCTCTTCCTGGATATACTCTCCACACTGGGCTCCCAGGACATGGACTTTCTTGAGTTTCTGTCTATATTGTTGGCTGTTTGTTTTCAGGGCTGTTCCCTTGCTCATTGCTCTCCTTGTTTTCTCTGCACCCATACCCTATTGATCTCTGTGGCATCATAGTATTAACAACTGTCTATTTTCCAAATATTCCTAAATTTGTATTTCCAGTACAGACCTATCTCTTCAAGTCTGGACCTATGTATCCAGTTTCCCACTAGACATTTCTACTTGGATGCCTAAAGGGCATTTCAAAATATGTGTTCTATATAATATCTGCGATCATCTCTTTAGAACCCGCTTCATTTAACAATCTTTTCTATCTCAATTAATAGCAGCTCTGTCTAAATAATTTCTCTGGCAAAAGAACCCAATTCTTCTCTTTCTGTCATATTCCATATCCAATCTACCAAGAAATCCTCTCATCTGTACCTTCTCACACCTCCACTGCCATCAACCCTGTCAGGGCCACCATCATCTCTGCCCTATGACACTCCCGCTTGGTCACCCTGCTTCAAACTCTTGCCCTCTTCTCATCTATTCTACAAGTAGCAGCAGCAGTCAGAATGATTCTTTTAAAATGTACATCAGATTATGTCATTCTAGAATCTGCCACTGGTTTTCTATTTACCTTATAGACAAAGGCAAAATTCCTGAATAGCCTACACAGCTCCATATTACATGGGAAACTGTTACCTCTTTGACTTCATCACCTGTCTTATTCAGTCTTGCTCCAGGAGTAATGCCTCCATGCTGTTACCCAATCGCAACTGGTCCATCTCATGTTGGTGTCTTTTCAGTAATCCTTTTTCCAAAAACACCCTTTCTTCATGGATCCATATTGTTAATTGTCCTGCATTCTTGAGTTTTTGCTCAAATATAATCTTTTTGATTAAGCTTTGAATAAATGTAATCTTCTCAATGAGCCCACCCTAATGACTTTAAGTAAAATTGGTACATAATCCTCCTCCAACATTTCCAAACCCCATGATGATGAAATGTTTGTTGTTTGTTTTTCTGTGGCACTTATTACCTTCTGATAAACTGTATGAAAAAGCTTGTGGAAAAGTTAAATTAAAAGATATGTTAATTTTGATGCAATAGATTTAGAAATCTATGCATCATTTTTTATAATACACATTTCTAAGAATGTGTTGAAGACCCCTCATATAATTTGCCCTGCTAGAAGTGAAGTAATACAAGGACAAGCATCTTAATAAGTTTTATTTACTGATATAGCTTAAATTTCTGTTATAATGTCTGGCACTTAGCAGTTTTTGTTGATTTAACCAATACACAAATGAATGAACAAAATATTTTTATCTATGCAAAATACACTTTCATTTTCACACTCATGCTAAATTCCCACATACTCAAAAATGTGTTAATCCAGCTAATAACTATTATAGAGTTCCTACTGTATTAAAAGGGGGGAAGATTGAAAAATAAATAAATGAGGGATTGATGTTGTGGTGCAGCACATTAAGCCTTTGATGTCAGCATCCCATGTGGGTATGGATTGAGTCCTAGCTGCTCCACTTCTGATCCAGCTCCCTGCTGATGACTGAAGAGCAGCAGAAGATGGCCCAAGTGCTTCAGCCTGAGTCATTCACGTGGGAGATGCTACTGGAGTTCCAGACTCCTGGCTTCTGCTTGGCCCAGACCCAGCCATTGTGGCCATTTGGGGAGTGAAGATCTCTCTCTCTCTGTCTCTGTAACTCTGCCTTTCAAATAAATAAATATTTTTTAAAAAGTAAGGGATCAGCATTGTGGCACAGCAGGTAAAGCTGCCACCTCCAATTCTGGCATTCCATATGGGTGCTGGTTAGAGTTCCAGTCCAGCTCCCTGATAACGCTGGGAAAGCAGTAGAAGATGGCTCACAAGCTTGGGTCTCTGCACCCGCATGAAAGACCCAGGTGAAGCTCCTGGCTTTGGCCTGGCCCAGCCCTGCCCATGTGGCCATTTGGGGAGTGAACCAGTAGATGGAAGTCCTCTCTTGTCTCTCTGTCTCCCCACCTCCTTCTGTAATTCTGCCTTTCAAATAAATAAATAAATCTTAAAAAAATAAATAAGTGTTGTGCTTAACTGTTTTAAAGAGAGATGAGTTTGTGTCAAATGTTGGTTTCCCCACGGGCAGTCTCCCATGGAGATTAGCATGTGGGCAATTGAGGGGGTGTGACTTTGTGGAAGGATGAAGGAAGCAGGAATGGGCAGAGGGTGAGGTCAAGCCATGTCAGTGAAAGCCACAGCTGGAGGGATATTGAAAATAGGATGACCCTTCAGAGCTGAGGCCAAAAGACCCGGTCATTAGATATTTTTAAAGATCAGTCATTGAAAAGAAGCACTGCGGAGGAGTCTTTCTTCAGCAAAGGCAGTTCCTGAAGGGGGGTTGGTGCCTGAAAGCTGTCTTCAGCCACATTCCCAGGACCTTGGTAATATATTTTTCACTCTTGAAGGTTGACCTAGATGGTGTATCACAGCACACAGCCAAGAGAGAAGCACAATTAAATGAAAAATGTGGTGGAAAGTGATAATGTCTTAAGCTTTATAAAAGGGCTGTAGACATTCTTTATTATACTGAAACTAATGAAAGTGCAAAAATGTTCAATAAGAAGCATTGTAGCCAACCAACAGACGGCTATGCAGCCATTTAATATCAGACTTTTAAAGTGTCTAAGAAAATAAGTATCTGTTAAATGATGCTACTAATATCAAGGGACAAGCATTCTTTAAAGACTGGAAGAAAATGTACCAGACCAAAACAGCAATCTGACTGGGATTAGTGGTGGTTTTCTTTTCTGTTTTTCTAAATCTTGACGAATTAGTTTATTGTTTTGTAATCAGAGAAGTAACTTCTGAGCAAGGACATAGTAAGACATTCTTTTCTTTCCACTTTCAGGTATTTGCATCCAGAAGGTTTGCCCTCTGACTACACCATCAGTTTTCTGTTCCGGATTCTTCCTGACACACCACAGGAGCCCTTTGCTCTTTGGGAAATTTTAAATAAAAATTCTGACCCCTTAGTTGGGATCATTTTAGATAGTAAGTATATTAATTTATATAACATTTGCACATGCAAGAATGAATAACGTGTGTGGCATGCCATCTGGCCTGTTTTATGTATATTGCAGAGTAACTCATGCAATGTGTAAACACTAAACAATTAATGTAATAGTTGATTCATTTGTTTATTCACTAACCCATTTAATAATAGGCTTTGAGTTCCATCTTGTGCCAGCACTAGGCTCTGAGATAGAGTGGTAAGCAACATGACAAGAGACAAAGAGTTTTTACTGAGATAATGATGACTCCAGGAAGACCAAGGTTGATTGGTGGTGGTGGTGTAGGGAGGGGTACAAGCAGATAGATAAATGTGAGATGTCCACTTGATATTCCAGAGATGTCAGATTGGCAGCAGCAGCTCAGGAAGAATTCTGGGATATATAAATTTGGAAGTTGTGTATATATGATCTGTAAGCCACGACTCATCTAGAATGTGAGTCTAGAAGGAGAATAGATCTAAAGACAGAGAAGCCCCAGTCTTTGGAACTTAGAATGTTGAGGAGGGACCTGTGAAAGAAACTTCTCAAATCACGCTCTTGAATGTTGCACAGGATGATTGCTTAAGAGGATTGTCGAGTTTTCTAAAGTTGGTTTTAGTGTAGGGTTCCAGTGAAACTAGGATCCAAACTTTGGAGACTATTGCTAGGTGTTCACTCAAACATTGGGATAAGGAAAGTGTTCTAAGCTTGTTTCCAATGCAGGAAAATGTTCCTGTTTTTAAATAATAAAATGTTCCCTGTTTAGGCTTAGGAAGGCCTTTGATTGTTCATAATAGATGATGTATCTTGGGTGGTATAAACTGCATGTCTTGGGATAGTTAATCACTGTAGTGCATTACTAAGACATAGGGCCTGGTTTCAATTTCTCAAGATTTGATTAACTTTATTCTTCCCCTTGTCTGCCTGTACTTCCAGCTTTGGTCAGCCTCACTTAAGGGAGTAGTGGGAATAAGAGCATAGGCAAGATGGTAGAGAAGAAGAGTCTGTGTAGGGGTCCTTACATCACCATTACCACTATGCGGTTAAATAAGATAATATAGCCATTGAAAGGCCTGAAACAACACCTGTACCAAAGATCATTTCATTGCCCATCACTGTTTTAAACACAATTTTAATAATGGATGCATTATTTGCAGTCTTGGGTTGAATTGTAGGAAAGAAATCATTGAACCATTTTCATTCTTTCTAAAATGTTTTTCTGTGTTTGAATAGATGGTGGGAAAACTCTAACTTATTTCAACTATGACTACAGTGGGGATTTTCAAACTGTTACTTTTGAAGGACCTGAAATTAAGAAAATTTTCTATGGAAGCTTTCATAAGGTTAGTAATTTCATATATACGTATATATTTTATTTGCTCTTGGACAAAACAATAGAGTCATTAAAAATTCATAGAGCTTTGGACCTCAAATTTCAATGGGAATACGAATAACTGTTTGTAAAAAGAAAAATAATATAATTAAAAAATTACTGTCTTTGGGACTTAATATTCTGAGTGGATAAATCTGAGTTAGAACCCTGAAATATGCATTTCTAGCAGGTATTCTAGGAGATGTTGGTAGAAGTGGTCCAGGTTCTCCCTTTGAGGAACAATACAATAGAGGATTATTTGTTACCAAATGGATTGTTGCTCATTGGGTACATTGTGTGTCTACCTGGTTGCCAATGCAGAGGAAGACATGTAATCAGCCAAAATCCTAAAATGTGAAGATAAATAAAATTGATTCATGATATTTTTATATTAAATATTATATATTAAATCAGTGTCATCACTGATAGAATAAAAAAGGGAGAGAACAATCCAACATGGGAAGCAGGATACACAGCAGACTCATAGAATAGCAGATGTCCTAAACAGCACTCTGGCCCCAGAATCAGCCCTTAAGGCATTCAGATCTGGCTGAAGAGCCCATGAGAGTATTTTAGACACTCTGGCAAAAAAAAAAAAAAAAAACCTAAATGGAAGATCTCTGTGAGTGAGATTCCAGTGGAAAGAACATGTCATCAAAGAAGGAAGTACCTTTCTCTGAAGGGAAGAGAGAACTTCCACTTTGACTATGACCTTGTCTAAATAAGATCGGAGTTGGCAACCTCAAAAGGCTTCCATAGGCTTGGCAACTCATGACAAGAGCCTAGGGTGATTATTGATGCCATAAACAAGAGTGTCAATTGTTGTTAAGTCAACAACAGGAGTCACTGTGCACTTACTTACTCCTCAGGTAGGAACTCTGTCCTTAATGTGTTGTTCAATGTGAATTAATGCTATAACTAGTACTCAAAAAGTATTTTACACTTTGTGTTTCTGTGTGGGTGCAAACTGTTGAAATCTTTACTTAATATATACTAAATTGATCTTCTATATATAAAGAGAATTGAAAATGAATGGAATGGGAGAGGGAGCAGGAGATGGGAGTGTTGCAGGTGGGAGGAAGTCATGGGGAGGAAAAAGCCACTGCAGTCCAAAAGCTGTACTTTGGAAATTTATATTTATTAAATAAAAGTTAAAAAAAAACAGTGCCATCATGTCAGATATCTTGGGGAAAGCTTTTGTAAAATCTTTTAGTTATTTTAATTTTAATAATTTTAATATCTTGGCATCTTCAACAGATCTTCATTCTTTAATGTTCATTTCTCAGAAGCATTTACTTTTGGTGATCACTGGGGTAGCCATGGTTCCTTCTACATGTTTGCTTTGTGTTTGGTGAGCAAACCCACTGATCTCTGGACAGCTAAAAAATGCAGCACCCGGGCCGGCGCCACGGCTCACTAGGCTAATCCTCCGCCTGCGGCACTGGCACCCCGGGTTCTAGTCCTGGTTGCAGAGCCGGATTCTGTCCCGGTTGCTCCTCTCCAGTCCAGCTCTCTGCTGTGGCCCAGGAAGGCAGTGGAGGATGGCCCAAGTGCTTGGGCTCCTGCACCCGCATGGGAGACCAGGAAGAAGCGCCTGGCTCCTGGCTTCGGATCGGCACAGCGCCAGCTGTAGTGGCCATTTTGGGGGTGAACCAATGGAGAAGGAAGACCTATCTCTCTGTCTTTCTTTCTGCTCTCTTTCTGTCTAACTCTGCCTGTCCAAAAAAAAAAAAAATATCTTCTCTAGCAAAATATGTGATGAGATGAGAAAATACGCTTTTCTTCATACTTTTAATGATGACTCGTACAACTATACAAATTTAGTTAATGTTTCTTCCTTCTTCCTAAAACTTCTTTTTTTTTTTTTATTCAGCTACATGTTATTGTTAGTAAGACTTTGGTCAAGGTGGTTATTGACTGCAAGGAAGTGGGTGAGAAGGCAATAAATGCATCAGCTAACATCACAGCAGACGGTGTAGAAGTACTAGGGAGAATGGTTAGATCAAGAGGACCAAATGGAAATTCGGCACCAGTAAGTAGACAAACAAGTAAAGCTGTGTGATTGTTATAGAAAAAAATCATTTTAATGTATATTCAGCTTCTTTCTGGGGAAATGTTTGGTACAGGAATGGCTGGATGAATGGATAGATGTATGGATTTTTAAATATATAATGGCTAATAAATAATTCTCTAAAACATGTATATTCAAAGCTCTTGGCAGGAGGGTCCCACTATTTAAAAGAAGAATGCTTCAGGAACTAGGCTAGTTTATTTTCTAAATACATTTCAAGATTTGAATAGTAAAATGTCCACCACACAATTTGTGATGTAAATGGTTTGTTAAAACTGTAAAAGAAATTTATTTATACAAGTAAATACAAATTTGTGAATATTTTTATACAGCAAATTGACACAGGCCTGTAATTTGGGTTAGATTTTAACATTTTTATACTGGATTTTTTTCTATGACTGATGTGGTGTTCACCCTTTAAATATTAACAGCTATTTAACTATCAACTCATCCTAATAGACTGTATTTTTCATTTTACAACATAGAATTGAAGTCTGGGAGACTTCCAATTGGCAAATAAATCAAATAAATTCTCTTCACTCATCACTCACAAAAAGAATAGTGGATACATGGTGTTTTTTAACACCAAGCTTTCTCAGTTAATTAACAGCATTCTCTAACTGGAATCATTCTATAATTAGTAAGGCAGTTTGTTCTGTGAACAATTCTGACTATTCTATTCTACATTTCTCTTCTATGTAACAGAATAATCAAGCGTATTAAGAATTTTTATTACTGTCTTCTACTTTCATAAATCTGTAGTACTAGCTAGCCATATGAAACTTCAGAAAGATTCAGTGGTTCTCAAAGTTCTTTTATGCTGAAGATCACATTGTGTGAATGAAATATTATACTGTTTCAAGTCAATAAGTAAGACTAAAATGGATCCATGGTAATTGGGGGGAGCAGAGACATGATGTGGCAGGTGCTTCTACCTTCCAATAATCCCTTCAAGGAGCACAATTCTAATTTTACTTCCCTAGTAGAGTCCATTCCCTTTATTACCAATAAACAGTCCCAGAGAGGTAGAGTGACTTACTTTGGGATATCCCTGTTTTGTGTTATTTCTCTTTGTGGTAACAACAGAAGTAGAACTCATGTGTATAGGGAAGGATCCATGCTTCCACACTTTAATAGGTAGATATGTGCTAACTAGTTTAATACTTAGCTTTGAAGTAACTTTAAGTTATTTTGTTCCTACTTTGCCTGGAAGAACTATGGATTAGATGTTTAAAAAGAGAATATAAAATGTATCAACATTTTTATGTGTGTTAGATTCTGGTCCCAAATCACTTCCTACTCTTATTATTATGTTCTCAATTTTAGAAATGATGCATATAAAATCTCTGACACCTAGTAAGCATTCAATGATAATCAGCTGTTAATACTGAAGGAAGTCAATACAAACTCCATCTCACCTTTTATAGACTTTTAGTACTTGATTACTAACAGTCATATATTATTCGTTTGCTCTTTCATATATCCACATTTCATCTTTGTAGCCAGAGCATAAATTATCCAAAATAGAAACTATTGTCATATTCTTCATTAGAATCCACCCCTACAGTGCACAGTATCTAATAAATTCCTGTGAACAGAGTAAGTTATTTAAAATCTGTTACCATAACTGAGAATAATAGAAACTTTCATGGAAGAAACACTTGGTAGAATTTAAATAAAATGTTGTGTATTTTAATTGCATCACGTCTTTTCTTAAAATTTTGTTTGGAATATATATTATAACATTGACAACAATCCAGTTATATGTATCACACTTTCTCTTAAATCATAACTTGTATTTTTTTAGCCATATTTCTATAATAACAATTATTAGAATTATATTTAAAATTATATATCATAATTATTTTTCAAATATGTGGCCAATCAAATATCAAGGAATTTTTTTCTATAAGTGAAAGTGCCTGTAGGTTTTAGACATAATGATGATCAATCTTTACTTTTGGCTATGAAAGGAAAGCAATTAAATATGGCACACTCTGTGGGAACTTCAAACCAGTAGTAGACAAAGGGGAATTTATGGAAGTCAGTGGTTAAAGAGTTCTTTGTAAGGCTAGACGGAAAAAAGTCGTAGCTTTTGTTAGAATTTAGAAGTCTACAACGGATTACAAAATAGATTTTCTGTCTTCCCACTTACTGAAGAATTTGATTATGTTGAAATGGATGATGTTAGGTTAGATCACAAGAATGTGATTGGAAACTTAGATGTGTGGGATAGTATTTAATTGTTTCAGTACAAGGTAAGAGAGGCCCCAGTGGTTAGTGTTCAGTTTGAAAATCAGAGATTGTTAACACAATCTTTATATAAACCTGTACTCAAATGCTCAGCAAAAGAGAATGTGTGATGGACAAATTTTGGATTATTCCAGAAGGAGTAATTATCATATGAGAAGGATTAGTAGCTTATAGCTCAGCATTCTCTGCCGAATTCCACAGTAATTTAATAAATACCAGATGGTGGAAGATTCTAGAGATCCAGTCTTTAGAAAAATATTCTTCTTCAACCATAGTTGAGTGGAAGACAGATTAATGGATTTGAGGATACAGTAACTACTGTATAGAAATTATTCACGTCCTTAATAAAAACAGCTTGTGTTCATCAGTGGAAGATTTTATAGGCAGTGACAGTCCATGGTGAGACTAAACTAATAAGCAGATGTAACTTAGCCATGAAAACACACGTGGAAAGAAGCTTAACCACTGTGCTCTGTCTTTGCAAACTTTTTCATGCTAAGAAATTTCTTCTACCTGTTCTGATGCCTGAAGAGATGATTCTAGAAAATTGTTCAGCTTCGGACATAGGATCCTGTCTCCCAGTGTCTCTTCTAGCTCTTCAAATCTAACCTTAGGTAGTTATCTAACTGGCATGTATTTATCCCTCATCTGTTCAAGAAGAGAAACATTCAGTGGGGTTGCTTATAATTTTATTCACTGAGTTAAAGCTTTTATGTAGAATTCAAAAGTAGGCTAATCAATGATCCCACAAAATAAGTTAAATTACCAAAAAAAAATATGCTAGTGTGTATTCACATGAATTATGTCTTTTTTAATCCTTAAGATGATAATGGTAGGTAAACTTTATTTTTTGCCTACTAAGAATTAAGCAGTGTATTTTTCTCTGATGGTATCATTTAATCCAAAAGAACCCTAGAAAAAACATGCTTATGCTTATATTACTCAGGCTTGAAGTTAGGGAGGGGTCCATTTCCAAAAAGTGTGGAAAGTAAGGTGAGAGTCCAAAGCTGCCTTTCATAGGACCACCTGCCTTCTATTGGAGCACTGTGTTCCTCTGAATGTGACAACGAGTTTTAAGAACTTAAGGCAGAGAGCGTGTCCAATCTGTAATGACCATGTACTCTGTTCATTGCCAGGTCTAAAGATGCATCACTGCTTGAATTACAACCCCAAAGTGTCTATTTAATACTTTAATTACTACCAACAAATACAACAGTGATTCACTTTTATTTTCTAATCTAATTAGTGTTTTCATTAAATTCAATAAATGGACTAAGAACCAATAGAAATACTCAGTTCAAAAGCTAAAATATGATGAATGATTGGTAAATCATATTTTTAGATGGAGTCAATAGAAGTTATTCAGAGACTAAGGTGGCTTGGTCCTCCCTACTCTTTCTGTATTATTCTTGTGCAATATAAAGCTTTTTGTATATTTGTATGAATTCTAATAGAACTGTATTTAAAAATTTGAGCTGAGTTATATTGTGCTAGAAAAAAAATCAGGGGAGAAAATTCTGATACTATGTGGAAAGTAGAGCCAGGAAGGCATTTTAATTTCCATTCACAGATTAAAATGACTCAGCCGCTGACAAATATTTTAATCTTATTTTCATGCTAACATTTGACCCCAAATGACTTGACTTTTGTGTTACACCCAAACAAGAAATGTCCAGTAATGAAAAATGAGCTCTTGTAATGGCTATGTGTTCATTTGAAAGAGATCACTAAAAAATGATAGTAAGAGGTTACACATCTCTCCCTCACTCCCCCACCCCTTTTTAAACAAATCACCCCTCTTTTCCCCCACAAATACATCTTTCAAATTGTTTCAGTTAGTTGCAAAGGAAAAATGTCAGAGAAGTAGAAAGGGGCTTCCCCTTTCATTAGTTGCCTAAAATATGATTTATTTAGGTCACATTATTTTGTATTTTAAGGATCTCAAATATAAGATATTCAGATATACCATATCTGTATATTTTGTGAAAATATGTGTATCATTGCTTTTGTAATAAAAGCCACAGTGTTTTCTTTTTAAAGTCAATCCCCAGAAATATATCTTGGAAAAGAAGCCTCTAAATAAAGCTTGAGGAATCTAAACTATTATAAATTCAAGACAATTATGAATAAATTTGTTGTACTCAAAGAGCAAGCTGCTGACTTCATGTCACTTGCAAAAGAAAGGGCAACCCACGTAGCATTCCTCGAATGATAGTATCAGCTTCACTCAGCTCTTAGTAGGCAATCAAACTCTTAAATAAATACATGGAGCTATTAATCCAGTAACTCCAGAGGTAAGAGTCTAGCAAAAGATTTGTATGTAGACACTGTACTGTTACAGGTGGCTAGGCAGTGAATGTTTATTTGAAAAACTTCCAGAAAGCCTAGTGCTTACTGGAGTAGTGAAAGGCCTTTGCTTTAAGTAAATCTTTCCATTCACGAAAATATTTTTACACTGAGAGCTCTATTCATAAATGGAAAATTCTTAATGGAAGAATGATTTGCAGACTTAGCTGAATCTATGTAATGCTGTCATAATGGGATCCATTTAATAAATGTCTCCAGATGAAATGGCATTGTAAAGTTAGGCGGGCTATTTACATTTTAAACACTAGATCAAAGATCCTTTTGTTGCAAAATAAACCACATGAAAATGAGATATACTGTTCTAATCACAACCAGAACTAAGCTTTCAACAAATAATTAAATTAAGTTTTTTTCATCCCAGATTACTACCTTATAGTAGTAATCTGAGAATTAAATGATATATGCAAAATACTAAAGATACTTCCTGGTACATACAGGTTTTCAACTACTTGGTTTCTGTTTATGTTAGTTGGTAAATTTTTTCTTAATCACAACACCAAGTATATAAGGTTATTATTGTGGAAACAAATTACTATTATATTTGTGCTTTCAATACCATTACATATTCTGATCTTTCTTCTTTGTCATCTGTATTATATATACCCCAGTACCTTAAAAGTTTAATTATGAAAGAACTATGCATAAAAATTAAAGTAGTATTAATTATTTATGAAAATTCGTTTCCAAACACTGTTCTGAATATTTGCTCTACGCTAATTCATTTAATCCTCACAAAAGCTATATGAGAAGCTGCTACAGGTTGAGAATCCCTTATATGAAATGCTTGCTACCCAAAGTGTTTCAGACTTTGAATGTTTTCAAACTTTGGAATGGAATGTCTGTGTATACATAATGATATATCTTGGGTAGGGGACCCAAACCTAAACACAGAATTTATTTATGTTTTATATACACTTTATACAAATAGCCTCAAGATAACTTAGCACAATATTTTTAGTGGGCTTGCTTGTTGGCTATGACCCATCAAATGAGGTCAGATGTGGAATTTTCCACTTATGGTGTCATATGGGGCTCTAAAATTTTTGAATTTTGGATTCTTGGATTAGGGGTATTCAACCTGATTATTATACCAGCTTTACAGATGAGAAAGCTGAGACTCTGAGACACTAAATTATTTGTCTGCAACAACTCATCAGTGACTACATCCCAGTAGTCCAGTCAAATATTTGTTGCTGTTATTTATACAAATCAGCTGCAGTGCACTTTAAAAAATGTTTTATCCATTGATACAACTGGACACCATTATGCTTAGTGACATAATCCAGTCCCAAGAAGACAAATATTTTGTGTTTTCCTTGATTTGTGGTAACTAATATACAACGTACAAAAAAGATGATGTATTAAGTGAATTTATATTTTGAGATTTGATTATTATTTATAGCCCTTGTCTGTACTCTTTAGGAACAGTTCGTTTACTGCTTACTACTTGTTGAATTCTTTGTTTAGTGAAGGGTTAAGCTTGTGATTGGAAAGAAAATTGAAAGTATGTCATTGAAAAATTAAAAGAAAAATAAGAAAAGGAAGAGGAAGAAAGTTGGGTGGGAAGTAGTATTATGCTCTTAAAACTGAATATATGAAATACATGAAATTTCTCCCCTTTATATAAATAAAAAAGAACAAAATGCTTTATTTTAAAACTAATTTTTATTGATTGTAATTTTGTTGTGTGTTTGCCCTGGACAGGCTCAGGTATCACAACCTTGATAGGGAGACCTTAAAATATCTACAAAAATCAAAGCAATGAGCTATACAAAAATTTCTGCAAACAGCACAACACGTGTATAAAATCAAGAAAATAAGATACCTTGACTTACAGATCTGGGATCTGCTGTCAGTGGTCACAGGTTATTCTATTAACTGGAATGAATGATACAATAAGACACTGAAATTCTTGAATGTAAAGGCAAAAAAAAAAAAAAAAAACAACCTCGGTTAGAGCAGCCTCTTTTGTGGTGCTATGCAAACTTATAACAGCCTGTTTCAATTGTGCCATCTCCTTGGGCCATCTTGTGGTCTAGAGGTACCTTGGACTTAGGGATGGGTAACGCTTCTGCGGAGAAAATAAAGCACCACATTTTTCCAACCTCTGCTGAAAACATCAAATGCTGAAGGAAGGTTATGGATTTTAAGATGAAAATAATTTTATTTTTCTTCCAGCTCTGTAACTGAAGACACTTTTAATATCTGACAATGATATAGGAAGAAATATATTAGAACTGCTTAGGCCATTAAGCTAGCATTTGCTCTGAATGTTTTTATAATGGTATTTCAACACATATATTTCAAAACATACATTGAATTGTCACCCATAAGCAGGAGTGGAACAAGTCTGTCCAAATATTTACAGAGTAATCAATGCCTTAAATAAAAATATGCTTATTCATGTCCTCACAATGCCAAATGTGGATCTGTCATGACACAGCATTGTGTCATTGTGTACAGTGTTTATGTGCCTATCTTTTACTCTTTGTAAATTCTTCCAGGACTGAAACTCTCCTTTTTTATCCTGGAAGTGTGTATAGGATCTGGTTTACATTATGCACTAAAAATTTGCTGAGTATATACATAGAGGAATGAAGTAAAAATTAATTCAATAAGCCTCCCTCAATGCTTATTATATGCCATATATTATGAAGGCTGCCAAAGAGTGTTCTCTGAGTGTTTCCCTGTCCCTTGAAGAGTCTAATGGGGAGATAATACCCTTATAAATAATGTATTGTATGGGGGGGGAGTATGGTACAAAGAGAAAATGGATTGTTGTGTGGTTACAAATGCATTTGCAGAATGCTATGATGGGCTTCAATAGGAGTATTTAACAGAGGAGCTAAGATCTTGCTCTAGGTAGTACTAGGAGGGGGAATTGTGATGAGGAAGGGGATTTGGATGGTAGACAGGGTAGGCAAAATAGTAGATCACTTGAAGAATAAAATTAGTTTGATATTGTTGGAGTCTCTTTAAATTTATTTAGAGCATAATCTATTAGTGGTTTATTATGTAATATATAATATGAATTTATTATAATGAAAGCAATCTATATATATCTTTCTTACTGAATGACAATTTTCTTTTTAAAATCCTAGTTCCAGTTACAGATGTTTGATATTGTTTGCTCTACATCATGGGCCAATCGAGACAAATGCTGTGAACTTCCAGGCCTGGTAAGAATTCTTCTTTCATCTCTGTTGAAAGTTTAAAAATTTAATTTAGTTTTCTGTGAAAATGAGATGCTATTTCTCAGCATTCATAAATAGTCTATTGTGATGATAATTAAAATTAGGAAAATGTTAAGAAGGAGGCATGTCTGAAACCAACAAGCTTAAGACATATAACCCCATGTGGTACGAACTGCTTCTCATGGTTCACAAAACCCTCAGGGTCTCACACTTTTTATGGAGCCCCAGGACAAAAGAAATACCCAACAGTTCCATGTATGAAAACATTAAGTGAGAAAATCTTACTAAGTATTAATGTCCTAACAACTAGGTGGTTGCATAAAAAATAATGCACACAATTTCAAAGAAAAATATGCTTTTATTTTGGCTTTGACTGCCTGTGCCTCTGGGTTTTTTCCAAGAAGTCTTTGCCTGTGCCTATATCTTGCAGGGTTTCTCCGATGTTCTCTAATAATTTGATGGTGTCGGGTCATGGATTTAGGTCTTTAAACCATGTTGAGTGGATTTTTGTGTAAGATGTAAGGTAGGGGTCTTGCTTCATGCTTCTGCATGTGGAAATCCAATTTTCCCAGCACCATTTGTTGAAGAGACTGTCCTTGCTCCAGGAATTGGTTTTAGATCCTTGATCAAATGTAAGTTGGCTGTAGAAGTTTGGGTTGATTTCTGGTGTTCCAATTCTGTTCCATTGGTCTATCCATCTGTTTCTGTACCAGTACTATGCTGTTTTGATTACAACTGCCCTGTAGTATGTCCTGAAATCTGGTATTGTGATGCCTCCAGCTTTGTTTTTGTTGTACAAGATTGCTTTAGCTATTCAAGGTCTCCTGTGTCTCCATATGAATTTCAGCATCATTTTTTCCAGATCTGAGAAGAATGTATTTGGTGTTTTGATCGGTATCACATTGAATCTATAAATTGCTTTTGGGAGAATGGACATTTTGATGACATTGATTCTTCCAATCCATGAGCATGGAAGATTTTTCCATTTTTTGGTATCCTCTTCTATTTCTTTCTTTAAGATTTTGTAATTTTCATCGTAGAGATCTTTAACGTCCTTGGTTAAGTTTATCCCAAGGTATTTGATTGATTTTGTGGCTATTGTGAATGGGATTGATCTTAGCAGTTCTTTCTCAGCTGAGGAATTGCTTGTGTATACAAAGGCTGTTGATTTTTGTGCATTGACTTTATATCCTGCTACTTTGCCAAACTCTTCTATGAGTTCCAATAGTCTCTTAGTAGAGTTCTTTGGGTCCCCTAAATAAAGAATCATATCATCTGCAAAGAGGGATAGTTTGAGTTCTTCCTTCCCTACTTGTATCCCTTTAATTTCTTTTTCTTGCCTAATGGCTCTGGCTAAAACTTCCAGTACTATATTGAATAGCAGTGGTGAGAGTGGACATCCCTGTCTGGTACCAGATCTCAGTGGAAATGCTTCCAACTTTTCCCCATTCAATAGGATGCTGGCTGTGGGTTTTTCATAAATTTCTTTGATTGTATTGAGGAATGTTCCTTCTATACCCAATTTGCTTAGAGTTTTCATCATGAAAAGGTGTTGTATTTTATCGAATGCTTTCTCTGCATCTATTGAAATAATCATATGGTTTTTCTTCTGCAGTCTGTTAATGTGATGTATCTCATTGATTGATTTGTGAATATTGAACCATCCCTGCATACCACGGATAAATCCCACTTGGTTTGAGTGGATGATCTTTCTGATATGTTGCTGCATTCTATTGGCCAGAATTTTATTGAGGATTTTTGCATCTATGTTCATCAGGGAAACTGGCCTATAATTCTCTTTCTCTGCTGTATCTTTTTCAGGTTTAGGAATTAAGGTGATACTGGCTTCATAGAAAGACTTGGGGGGGATTCCCTCTTTTTCAATTGTTCTGAATAGTTTGAGAAGAATTGGAGTTAGTTCTTTAAATGTCCAGTAGATAATTCAGCAGTGAATCCATCTGGTCCTGGTCTTTTCCTTTTTGGGAGGGCCTTTATTACTGATTCATTTTCTGACTCAGTTATAGGTCTGTTTAGGTTTTCTATGTCTTCTTGGTTCAATTTAGGTAGGCTGTTTGTGTCCAGGAATCTATCCATTTCCCTGGAGACGTAGTTGACAGCAGTAGCAAGACCATCAGACTTGGCCGGCGCCGCAGCTCAATAGGCTAATCCTCCGCCTGCAGCGCCAGCACACTGGGTTCTGGTTCCGGTCGGGGCTTTGGATTCTGTCCTGGTTGTCCCTCTTCCAGGCCAGCTCTCTGCTGTGGCCAGGGAGTGCAGTGGAGGATGGCCCAAGTCCTTGGGCCCTGCACCTGCATGGGAGACCAGGAGAAGCACCTGGCTCTTGGCTTCGGGTCAGCATGATACGCCGGCCACAGCGTGCTGGCCCCAGCAGCTATTGGAGGGTGAACCAACGGCAAAGGAAGACCTTTCCCTCTGTCTCTCTCTCTCTCACTGTCCACTCTGCCTGTCAAAAAGAAATAAATAAATAATAATAAAAAAACAGCAGTCTTTGCTTACAAGGGAGCTGACATCAGCATTATTTTAAGGATCTTTCAAAATATGTTAGCTGTAGGACTGAACTGCAATCTTTGACCATTGCCCAGCATTTAGAAAAAAGCATGTGGAGTATGTATAGACCGTTTGTTCAACCACTGGCGAGATTTTGTTGTGAATATTTCAGAGATTCAGATTAATGTTTTAAAGACTTTTTTATTTGAATGGCAGAGTTACAGAAAGGTAGAGGCAGTGAGGGAGGGAGGGAGGGAGGGGAGAGAGGGGAGAGAGAGAGAGAGAGAGAGAGAGAGAGAGAGAGAGATTTTCCATCTGCTGGTTCACTCCCCAAATTGCCACAAGCCAGGAGCTTCTTCCCGGTCTCCCATGCAGGTGCCAGTGCCCAAGGACTTGGGCCATCTTCTACTGTTTTCCCAGTCCATAGCAGAAAGCTGGATCGAAAGTGGAGAAGCCGGGACATGAACCAGCACCCACATCGGATGCTGGCACTGCAGGCAGTAGCTTTACCCACTGTACCAAAGCACTGACCCCCTAGATTATTTTCAATTTGGCATTTTAACTATCATCTATGTTCTGTTCAGCTCTAACCATTTTGTTCCCACAAAGTCTTCAATAATGAAACTCACTCTCTTTCTGTCCAAAGGTACTGATGGACTCTGTGGAGGTCTATAGTTTTTTTTTGTTTTTTTTTTTTTATTACAGGGATGAGTTGATTTTGGCTGCTTTTTTGAATAGGATAATTACAAATTGTTCAATATCTCTTACCAAGTGCTCTGTCTCCTTCTATATCCCAGTAACTCATGCAGATATACTTTGCTTGACATTAATAATCTGTCTTGCAATGTCACATGGCAATGCAATTCTCCAAGAAAGAAAAGCAATATCCTCTCCCAAAGCGCAGATTGCCCTGATGTTTCTCTTTTTGTCAGCCACAGAATGTAAGCAGTTGGTGAAATTGTCACGGGGAATTGATGATGTGTTTACATACTGTTTTTATTTTGTTTCATCTCTTTGTTTTAATATAGATGCAGTTGTTTGGATTTAGCATACCAACAAGTTTGCTTTTATCCTTTGAAACAAAAAATAATACTGTAGCATAAAGTTTACAGGGCCTTCAATTTATAGGGTTCTATTATTCCAGCTGAATTAAATAGTAACCATGAATATTTTTTCCCACTTCTGATTTTCTCTCCTCGCTTGGATCCTATACCGGTTTTGTCAATATCTTTGATAACAGCAGTTATCAGTGATTCACTAAGCATGCATGCTTTTGTTTTACAGAAAAAATTTCAGATCACAAGTGAATACTCATTGCCTTTCTAGACAAATGCTCATTTAAATTTTTTTAAATGTATTAAATAGAAATGATTTCCTTGAGTCAATAAAACCATTTCTAAATTATCTTAAATGTGCACTTATTATTCTTTTCAGAGAGATGAAGAATCCTGCCCAGACCTCCCACATTCCTGCTCCTGTTCTGAAACCAATGAATTGGCTCTGGGACCAGCAGGTCCACCAGTAAGTTTACCTTGTTGGGCCTTAAATGTGTAATACTGTTAGTAACCATCATATTTTGAATCTCGCATATGCTGACCAGTGTTTGAGAATGTGCTTCAAAAAGTAGGTGGAGAAATGGAACTGAAAGATAAGTTTATTTTGGTGCAAATTTGAAATCTGTGCCTAGATGGGTCTTCAAAATGTTCATGGAAAATTTTTATTGTGAAAAGACCGTGGGTGCATTTCAAACTTTTGTTGTCCCCAAGTAAACTTCTCTTTTTGAAGCACCCTGTACTGAAAGGCTGTTACACACACTTCATCCTGTAAGTAAGCTGAGGTGCAGAGACGTTCCGTGACTGAGCTGGAGAACACAATGTGGAGGAGCTTGCCTTCAAATCCAACTCTTAGACTTCTGGAGCCATTTTCCTCGTCAGTATGCCATACTATCTCTCCTAACGCTGTGTATTTAAAATCTTTCCTTTAACTGCCTATGGTTTACCATCATAGTGCATGTTTTAATCATTGAACCTCTGCTTACACCTATAAGATTCTCATCTGTGCCCAGGCCCATTCTGTATCCTGATTTCTATGTGAATGGAGTATTTCTTTTTTTATAAGATTGTATTCATTTCTTTGAGAGGTAGAGTTATAGACAGAGATAGGGAGAGACAGAGAGAAGAGTCTTCCATCTGTTTGTTCACAACTGCTGGAGATGGGCTGACTGGAGCCAGGAGCCAGGAGCCAAGAACCAAGAGCCGGGGGCCAAGAGTTTATTCCAGGTCTCCCACGCAAGTCCAGGGGCCCAAGTCCATGGGCCATCTTCTTCTGCTTTCCCAGGCCAGAGCAGAGATCTGGATCAGAAGAACAGCAGGGATTAGAACCAGCTCCCATGTGGGATGCCCGTGCCACAGGTGGAGGCCCAGTACACTATACCACAGCATTGGCCCCCACAAATGGAGTATTTCTAATTCAGTAGGAAAAACACCCACTGAGCATAAAATTCTCCACTTTCATAAACTTTCTACAGAATTTTATATGGGAAAGAAGGGAGAAAGCAAAGAAAGAAGGAAGAAGAATGAGAAGCAGGGTAGGAGGGAATGACAGAGAAAGAAAGAGGGAGCAGAGAGAACACTTTAATACAATAAAAACTGAATAATCACACTATCATTGAATTTACGATGATACATTTTTTGGAATATATTTAAAAGTTTATCACATGCTAATCTGGAATTATGAGTGTTTCTTTAAAATATTGAGTAGTATGGTTAGTGGTGAATTAATCCTGTGATTATAGAGGGGATTGAAATTATGCCTTTGCAAAAATTAAAAAAGGAAGGAAGGAGGTGGGTTGAGGGAGGGAGAAGCGAGGAGGTGGGTTGAGGGAGGGAGAAGCGAGGAAGGACACTCTGGTTATCACCTTGGAACTATACCTCTGAAATACATGAAATCTTTTCTCTTTATATTAATACAAGTTTTAAAAATTAAAAAATAATAGTCAAATTGAAAAAGATAAATAAGATGAGGATTTTATAGCCATTCTGCAGTTAAGGAAAGGCAAATGTGTCAAGGCAGCATTACAAAGAAAACAGGGAGAAGATGCACAAACAAATAAACCCGAGGGCTTGCAGGAGAAGCGTTCTCCTGCCCAGCCTGTGCTTGCACACTGCCTAGCCAGGGGAAGCAGCACAAAGCAGGTGCACAGTGTGTAACCTGCATGGACAGCTGGCTTGAAGCATGAAGGTTCGGGCCAGGTTGACTCCTCTGACATAATGTTCCTTCATTTGTTAATACATTTTTCTGAGCTGAACAAAAATGAAGAGCGCTTGCTGAATGTATTTGAAATATGTCCCAGAATTTCCTCCTCTGTCTTTAGCATATTGATCATTCTTTTGAGTTTTGGATGTAGAACCCCATTTTTTTTTTAACAAAAGACTTTTTATCCTACAGAAGCAGATGTGGAGTAATGGTAGACACATTAAATTTGTATCTTAAGACTAGGCAGTTTACTAAACCACCATGAACTTCCATTTCCTCATTTATAATGTACAAATAGTGCCTACCTTGTGAACAGATATTGGGAAGGCTACAAAAGATAATATGCATACACATACTCTGTGTGTTACAAAACTTTAGTTAAATGGAAGGTGTTGAGTGCAGTTTAACCTGGAAATGGAAAACAGATTCATTTTCAATTGTGTGCCAAATTTTCCTCTCAGCCTCCAGAATTAGAATAAGCAGTATTATGTACTATGGCTTATAAAAGTGCTACTTAGATCTGATCACCTAGGATACTTAATAAAAATAGAATTCCAACATGGCAGTGTGGAATCAACAATTATTAGGCACACTAAGGCATGACGGTTCTGTCCAGAATATTAAAAGTTCACTGATTCATGGCTAAAATGTATTCACTACACATTTGTGTGTCCCTGAGAATCTCAAAAGTCCAGATGTATTTTCAGGAATAAACCTTCAAACCTAGTGGGAGGCAAAAAGTATTGACTGGACTCTAAGGAAGCCCACAAGGGTCAGTTTGAGTAATTTTGGGGGTAGGGCTGAGTTAACCTTTGTTACAGATTATTTTACTTCTCTAATTTTCTTTATCATTTTATACATTGTGTGTAATATCTTAAATAAATTCTTGTTTAATTATTGAACAATTCAAGCCTAGAAAAGATTATAAAATATAATTTAGTACAACCAAACTATTCTGTTTGATACTGTATGAGTGGATGGATAATTTAGTCCAAACCCATAGAACATTCAATGCCAAAATTGAATTACAATGTAAACCGTGGACTTAGGGTGTTAATGACCTAATGACTGCAGATTCATAAATGGAAACAAATGTGCTAGTCTGCAGCTGGGTGTTGATAGTTGGGGAAGCTGGGTGTGCATGCACGGGGTGTGTGAAAACTCTCTGGACTTTCTGCTAAAATTTCTCCCCAAATAACATGTCTAAATAATACTTTAATAAGATGTTTTTCTTCTTTTTAAAATTTTTTAAGGATTTATTTATTTGCAAGTCAGACTTATACAGAGAGAGGAGAGGCAAAGAAAGAGAGAGAAAGGTCTTCCATCCAATGGTTCACTCCCCAATTGGCCAAAACAGCCGGAGCTGTGCCGATCCGAAGCCAGGAGCCAGGAGCCAGGATCTTCTTCTGGGCCTCCCACGCAGGTGCAGGGGCCCAAGGACTTGGGCCATCTTCTACTGCTTTCCCAGGTCATAGAAGAGAGTCGGATTGGAAGTGGAGCAGCTAGGTCTCGAACGGGTACCTATATGGGACACCTGTGCTTTAGGCCAGGGGGTTAACCTGCTGTGCCATAGCACTGGCCCCCAAATTTTTGTTAATATAAAGAGGACATATTTCTTGTATTTCATAGATACAATTCTTATTTATTTATTTGGAAGTCAGAGTTGCACAGAGAGAAAAGGAGAGACAGAGAAAAAGAGAGACAGAGACAGAGAGAGAGGAGAGGTCTTCTACCCACTGGTTCACTCTCCAATTGGCTGCAACAGCCAGAGCTGCGCCAATCAGGAGTCAGGAGCTTCCTTTGGGTCTCCCACATGGGCTCAGGGGCCCAAGGACTTGGGCCATCCTCCGCTGCTTTCCCAGGCCATAGCAGAGAGCTGGATTGGAAGTGGAGCAGCTGGGACTTGAACCGGCGCCCATATGGGATGCTGGCACCGCAGGAGGCAGCTTTACCCACTGTGCCACAGCACTGGCCCCTGATAGATACGATTCTAAGAAGAAAACCATACTTCCCTCACCCTCCCTCCTTCCTCCTTTTTTCTCTAATTTTTTTAATATCAGACATTCAATCTACTTTATAATCATTTTTTGTACCTACCAGTAGGCTAAATCATTTTCACTTTATTTGTTCAGGTCACTCCATAATATCGAGTTACTGACACATACTAAAATCTCAGTCCCCATTCCTTTTCTTTCCTCTTACCTTCTTCCCCTGAACTTGACATGTACCATTGCTATGTTTATCTACATACTCCTGCTGAATAAGTATGCACCCCTGAACAAAAACTATAGTATTGCACATTTAAGATGTTGTTGTGTCTTTTTTTCAACTTGATTGTTTTTCATCCACAAGTATGTACATGAACACTGTTTAATTAATACACATTGTTTAGCTCAAGAGTTCCACTATATAATACTACATGCAAAGTGTTTCTCTAATACATATATTGCCACAGTGAAATTCCTTGAATGTCTCCTTGCAAACATATATGAGTTCTCTAGAAATTGTACTTGGAATTGGACTTGTGGAGAATAAGAAATATGTAATCTCAGCTTCATGAAGAAACCCCGGATTGCTCTTCAGTTGGTTGTGCCAATTTCTCTTCTCAGAAGGTGTGCATTAGGAGTCTGGTTTTCCTGCATTCTCACCAGCTCTGCCTGCATATATTGTCTTGATTATGGTTTTCTTTTTTTTTCTTTTATTCTCATTCTTTTCTTTTTCCTTCCACTAATTTTACTTTCTCTTAATAATTTCCTTTGGATGTTCCTTGAGTGAGAGACTGTTGCTAGTAAGTCTTAATTTTTGCTTCTATTAATTGTCTTTATTTCTGAAAATATTTGCAGTATTATGAACAGATAGTTTTGATGGTTGTTACAGAGATTACTAATTGTTATCCACATTAATTTCCACTGCTTCTTTATAGTAATACAGTCCTCTGAGGTTTAGCTAAGAATGTGGCCATCTAGCTAGCGACTTGATTTCTGAGAAATCCTGTACAGATAGGTATGACTTTGTGACTGAATTCTAGCTAATGGGTTATAAGAGAAAGATTCTTGCATATGCTGTAGATCTTGTTCTTATGTGGAAGCCAAATACTTTCCCTAACCATTTTCTTTCTTTCCAACTGACATGCTAGCAAGGGGACATGATTGCAGTAAGTTAGCCCTAGAGCACTGGTAGAGCAATAAGATGAAAACAACAGAAGTCTTCATACTGCCTTACATGGTAAAGATGTGCAACCATCTTCAACCAGATTTTAATACAAA